AGACTTGATGTCATCATTATTGCATAAGATATATTACTGGCGCCCCCTATCTCATTCATCACTGAGAACGTTATGTTTTAATTGATTGGCCATCTTGGCATACTGAACAAATGCTTTACCAATTTAAATTAATTTACACTCATAATAATTTTTATTGATGAACATCTTTCTTATCTTAATAATGTATTAAGGTTATCAGTGCCATCTTACAATTTAAGGTGGAGTAATTTATCAAAGTGTACCTTACAAAATCAACTACGGATTTTGGGTGCAAGTCATTTTTGTTATTTAATTTAATATTAATTTAATATAAGTATTTACTTTACTCTGTATAAAGTCTAAATACAGTACTGTAGATCATAAGCATTATGTCATTTGAAAGAGGGCAGGGGAGTGTTCATGGGGCATAAAGATTGTTTATCATCAGCATACTGCATTCTCAGCTGAAATTACAGTAGATAACTGTGACTTTCTCCCACTGGTCAAGGATGCATAATTAATTAGTGGTTTCAAATGCAATCATTTTTTAAAGAAAACACCCATATCAAATACAAACCAAGTTCAGTCATTTAGTGAATTATGGTGATACAAATAATCAGTGCTAATGTAGAATATATATTTTTTATATTTCCTTGTTTTCTCGTAAGAAGGAAAATGTTTTATGCAGGGGCCATGTCAATTTCTGCTATTAACTGCTCTTCTCTAGAGATTGTCCTTTAACTGGGTAAACAGCACAGTTAGACTATAGCAATATGAGATCAAATGGCCTCACAGTAAATCATTAATTGAACTTAAAACTCACTCTGTTCTATGTGAGACCGGCAGGAACAGGTTCTTGCCTGAATTATTCAAGTTAAAAACTAATAGTTTATGCCCTGCAAAAGGCTAGATCAAACATTGTTTTTTATATGATTTTAAAATTAAATATACATCTCATAATCTAATAGTATGAAAACAAAAGGCTCATGAATTCTAATGTACACCAAAGATTTTGAATAAAAGGAATGTTCCTCAAGAGGAATATACCTCAATGAGTACAGTCCATGAAAAAAAAAAACTTATAGCACAGATGTGAAAGCATTGACATCTTAAATGATCAATTGGTAAAGACATGGAACAATTTTGTTTTAATTAATTTGGTCATTAATTGGCTCGATTAAGTCAAGAACGGTCAGCTGTGGTCTTTGAGAGCGAAAGGATGTTGGTTTTTCAACTTATGTTTTAGCTGCTTAATTTAACACATTACCTGCTTAAGCGGTCAAAACGAAATTGTTCCAGGTGTTAAGAAACTGATGGTTTACACTGCATACAATGCTGACTCTTTGGAACTAGGATTCAGTGCTCCTGTTTTAAACTATTTTGTAAAGAAATTAAGGATCCGGCTACTATTTTTTGCAAGCATTTACAGTACTTTTATTTTTTTTGTGAGTTTATAAAATCTCCGGTGCCCTTGGATGTTGGGCATCGCCCTTAAAACACTCTATAAAACACTGATACAAATCATTTAATGGACCTGTATTATATATCTGTCTTTCTGCTATATTACTTTATAGCTAACTGTAAAAGAATAAAACAATTCAATGTTAGTATGACTTTGCAAATGGCAGCTTTGTCCTCCGAAAACCCCATCACAATTGATATTTTTTTATTCCAGACAGATTCAATACCATAGGCACACCTACACAAGACTCTGAACCACTCTTTTGATTGGTCTGATAATCACTGAAGATACCGGTTAAAGTTTGTTTCTTTTGGCTAGGGACAAAATAGTGAAAGTCCAATCAATGAAAGATAATGCAATCTTGAGTTATTTTATGCTTGGATATGAAAGCTTTTTTTAAAACTTGTTATATCTTCTGTAGTCTTATAAAAAATAACGATAAAGCCTATAGTAATAATAAATTGTTGTATCAGTTTTATAATTAAATTATTTTGAGATTTTCTTTATGTTCTTTACATACAGAACTTATCTTTCAGTATTTGGTGTTTCTTCCTTGTTTAATATGATGCTCCATGTGTTGTTTCTATAGGCGTATCTGCTTTTGTGCACACTGACATGACAATCAGCAATTCCCCAGATACTGTACATCCAAAATATAGAAACCAAGTTCCAAAAGGAAATATAGTATATTTGTCATGTATGGATAAGGTTTGGAGCAATATGTGATACATGCTTCCATCCTCTAATAGTATTGTAACATTTAGAGTTAAGAAATCTTTTCAGAATCGATTTTCACTTTAACAATTGTTTATAGTGCCATTTAACATTGGAACCACAAGCATATATTTAGTTTAAAAAAAATCAGCAGTCATTTGAAAACAGTGTACATATGCAGGAAGCAATGTAGTGCCACACAATACTCAGAAACCTTCTGTCTAAAGCTGTTAAAAATTCTACAGAATTGCTATTTTTGCCCACAGCCGTTCTTCTGTTTAATTTGTGTTAACTGAAAATTATAAAAAAGATGAGACAACAAAAATAATGTAAAACTGAATTTTAATAGTGGGGAAGACATTTTTTTCCTGTGTTGCATGCATTAAACCATATTTCCAAGACCTTCCTTTTTTATAACAACAGTATTTCATCCTCCCCAGGTCATTAATTTAACAGGCATGTAACCTTGTACTGGAGTTTACAGCTTCAGACTAACTCTGTGAATGTCACAGCATAAAAAGGAAAGAAAGGAAGGTAAAATAGAGAGTGGGAAAATATCTACCTCAAATAAGTGCTTTTCATTTGCCTTTTCCAGAGCTAATTCTTCCAAATAGCAGCAAAACTGTTTCCTCACAAAACTAAGGAACAGTATATAAGATCACCCTCTATTTGCAATAAATGTTAAAAATTGCCTTTTTCAAAAACCTTTTTCAAACCAAATTAAACAGCAACTGTTCGTATTTGTGAGACATAACTTCTAATTTACAGATTTTTTTTCCACATGGCAGAAACAATTTGTGTATGTAGAGTAGCTTGTGGGGGATACCGTAGCACAATCTATATTTTTGGCAAAATAATTCATCTCATGGCGGAAATCCCACAATATGTTGTGATGACTTTTGCTATTAAATTGCAGTTTAAGGAGACCCACTAATGAAAGATAATATATGTTCTTACTGGGTCTCTCATACTTCAAAGTCTGTTTTAATGTACATTTATGTTCTATATATTTTTTGTACATTAACTGAGGTGTTGTTTGGCTACTACAGTATAATCCCATATGCTGTAAAGAGGCAGAAGCATTATACAAAATAAACACAAATGACCTGAAAGAGCAGAGCAAAATATCTCTGGAAAGTTCAAGCTTTACAGACTTGATTTCTTTCCTTAACGGAAGCCTGTACTTGTTTAATCCAATCATTTTCTCTTGACCTTTCTCACTTTTTACAATGCTATTTAAAATGCATTTGAAAATTGTCTGTCACAGAGCCTGCTCTCCCTGTAAAAAGATTCCTGAAAGGATTACTACAGTCTAGAGTTTTTTCGCGTTCACTGACCTTTTTGGAGACACTCCAAAGGTTAAGCTAAGTGCAATGACTGTGCATTTTAGTTTGATATAAATGCTCACATTTAGCTCCCAAATGACCTAAGTACCTTACAAATATTCGTGGTTTATGCTAGGGGTTGGAATCTAGAAAATTATTAAATCTTCTTATCAATGAGGTTTTTGGGATATTTGCCGAGCAGTAAATTTCCAATGCTTTTTCAGTACATCTGTACAGTGACAAAGGTAAAACCTAACAATATACACTTTTAAAGAACAAGAACCAAGATTCTTTTTACTGTTAACCTTCTGTTTTCTCTTTCTGCATCTCATTCTGCATTTATGCATCTTTCACATTTCGGCAAAAGACTTTAAAATGACCTACTTATCTCTTCCTTTATAATTAGACACCTAAACTCCAATGTCAGAATTTATTACAGATGACTAATTCTATTTTTGTCCAGCAGTCTAGGGGAAGTTATTAATAGAATCACTTCATATCACTGAACAACTACTTACTCTGTATGGCTCTGGTATAGGGTGTAATGTATTTGTGCAGATTTATTTTTATTTTTATGCCTTTTCAAAAAAGCTCTTAGATTTTATGAAACAAAATCATCTTCTGCCTAGAAAAAAAAATCCCAGTTCACATATTACACTATTTACCTGACTTTAAAGATACAGTTTTCTGCATGCTTAGTCCCTTAGAATAGTATTTCTGAACAATGTAAAATGACTGTATCTGGGAAATATTTGTCTGCACTATTCCATTAGAAAGAAAGTTAATGTCTAATCTGACTTAACTGCAAAGTCACGCCACTATTGAAAGCACAGGAAGGCCTCTCAGGAATGTACCCTTATTTTCTCTCTTCTGGTCTTTCCAGGTAAACCAGAGGTAGGAGTCTGGTAAGACCCACTTCTTTTGCTCAACTATTGAACAGCGTTCAACAGTGTCTGTGTCTAATTGGTGTTACAGCACTAACAGAAAAGACCATTCTAGTGTTTTCTCAGTCTTCTGTGCCAAGTACTATGGAAACAGTAGAATTAACTGGTCACAAGGAGATTAATGACTAGGGTAAGGGTTGTCTCTCAACCCAATTAACACAGTAACGTACGGTTTTTATGTGGTGTTTTATTGAATTTTGTTAACCAAGGAATACATAGGGGATTCTAGCGTTTTAGTAACATGTTGATCACATTAACTGTTACCAGGTGCACAGTGGCAACACTTAATACCGTGGGGGAAATTATTTATCCAGAGGCTGTATACAACCAGATTACACATTTGGTAGGATATTAAAAAAGGCAGATGAACCAAAATGAATTATCTCAAATGTTTTTAATTCACTCCCCCACCTTTTTAAATGTAATACCCTTCTGGTATATGTCTGGGTGCATTGAACCTTTGCAAAAGACTTTTAAGTGTTATAGATGCTATCGGGAAAAACGTGTGCAATTTTATAGCCCAAAAGGATCTATAACAGTTAAAAGTCTTGCAGTCTAGTGTCTAACGCCGCAGAATGCAAACGAAGAACGACCAGCGTTACTATGAGAACAGGCAGTGCTGTAACGTATGTCCAGTATCCTGTTTTGTCGATTTTATACAAATATTTAATTATATGGATTTTTTAGTTCCAACGGGAATGTGTGATGATGAGGTAACAATGATATTAGAACTCTTTAGAATAGTCTGCTGGACTGCATCTTTAAAAAAAGTGACTTTTACTATATCAAATTGTATGCCCCGCCTTCCCTTATCAACTGTCCTCTGTCGGGGACTGTTTGAAGGCTCTTGAGCAGCTGCTGAGTGACTGACTTACAGGATTTACTCGATTTTTTTTCACTTTTCACTCACTTCCTGTATCCCAAGTAAAAGAGACAAGCTACCTTACTTTCTTCACCTGGTTCAGGTGAGTGTCTTTTACAGCGATTAGATTAATTTTACTTAAATTGAATTTTACTTACCCTTTAAGTCTCCACAGTTGAAAAACGCCGGTCATCTTTTTAAATTGTGATAGCATAATTTCTAAATATTTGTTGACATGGCATTGATCAAACACCTTGTTTAGATGAATATGCAACTGCACATTTTAGACTTGTTAAAACGTTTTTTTATACTGATTTGACAATGAAATCACGTTCTCGCACAATGCTTTTTCAGAAAACTTTTCAGTTTTTGCCGTTGTTTGCATTGTACAATAGAAAGCGTCTTAACACCGCATTCATCCCGATTTAAATGTAATCGTTTCATGGTTGTGTTTTTATTTTATTTGTGCAGTGTTTTAATCCTGCACCTTAATGCTCGACTTAAAAACACATGAGAAAGTTGATTGAGCTACATAGCGGAGGTGCTTCAGAATGATATTACTCGCATTTCATGGTAATTTAGAAGTCAGTCCACAACACTGCTGCAGTATTGCATTGGATAAACTTCGGCACAATGCGAAACTCAGAATAATATGCGCTTCAGCAGGACAGCTTCTTGCGTTAAGGAGGATTTTGATTGGTCGAGCCTCCAAAGGCTCGCCTCTGAATTGCGATATAATTGGTCCAGCCACTTGCTTTACAATTGCCTCCCCTCATTTAAGACTAGCATTTAGCAGCCATCAAAGCATGAAAAACGATGGGCAAAAAATAATTTCTGATTCTGATACCAGTTCTACGAAATTGCTGAACGCGTAGTTCCTTTTAAGCAGTGCAGACTTATCAAGGTCTGTTGGTGTTCCCCCTGTGCCAACTTTTTCCTCACCAAAAGCAAACGCTGAATGTACGGTTTTATTTGCATGTACGTAGTCGCTGAGGGTTTGCTTACTGTTTATCTGTGAGGTTATCGATAAAAGATAAAAGGATTAATCTGTGTGTTTCAAGATTTCTTCTTTGCGTGGACATTTTATTCAGGTGGGTGGGCCCCTTTACGTGTGCTCTTTCCGAGTAAGGAGATAAAAGCCGATGTAGTTTGGCAACCTGCTATTCCCAAGAGTTAAGGGAAAAGGCTCCGGGTTCTGGATTGGTTCTGGCAGATATTCTGATTGTATGTGACCAATTGCTGTTACACACTGAAATCTTTTTTTAGACATTTTGCAATAGTCACATGAACATAGTGAAGAACAAAGTGCGAGGTTTTGGGAGAGCAATCCACATGTTGCGTGAGCTCATTATGTAAGCTGTACACTAAGGAAATATTAACAAGTGTTTATGCTTTCTCCTAGTGTCTAGTCAAGCTTAAAGAGACATGAAGATTGCTGTGATTGGACAGAGCTTGTTTGGGCAGGAGGTTTATAAGGAACTGGTGAAGGAAGGACACCAGATTGTGGGTGTTTTCACAATCCCTGACAAAGATGGAAAAGCTGACCCCTTAGGTAAAAAACAATGGTCTGAACGTGTCCTGTATTTCTGAAAGGCCAGCACAATCATTTTGTATTGTGCACTTAGAAGTAATGAACTTTCTATCCAATCTACAGAAGATGTCTAGCTGTGACAGTGAGCTGCTTTGTAGTTACCATTGCAATGCAACTATGGAAAACATTTTCTTTCCAATACAATGTTTGGTTCCAAGGGAAGATATTTAGCACTTTGCCTTCTTTGCAGAATAGAGTGAACTATACCAAGTTATTTTCCACTGGCTTTGTAATGAATAGCTGAAATATTTTCTCTATATTAATTGAAAGAACACATTAAGAGTTAAATTCTGTACGTGGCCTTCCATTCATGATAAGCAGGAACTTGAATGCTTTTTGCAGCAGAAATCCAGTGTTCATTAGAAATTAAAATAAAAGTTCGTTCAGGTTTTAGAACCCATAAGTAGGCAAAACTAATTAACACTTATGTGCATATATATCGTTAAATCCGTCAAAAAAGTTATTGATTAGCTAAGCATTATCAGTCTGTTCTTATTTAATCTAAGCGCGGAATATCTTTCAAACAACAGGGTCACTGTTGTATATCAGTTTATAGTAGCTTTGTATTCAGGGACTAATAGGGATGGAAAAAATATACTGTTACAGCAATTTGAGCTTGCAAAGGTATGACACTTTTTAGATTTCACCAGTAGCAAGCTCCTGCATGCAGACAATTATGCAGATGCAGGATATTCTGTGTATTACAATAGTTTATATAGTTTATATCTGTTTGTACAGTACTGTATTGTATTGTAATATGTATGTACAGTATATTTTCCATATTACTTTATACTGTTTAAGAATCTCCACCATTAAACCTGGATCAAGCTGTTGTGCTGTTTATTTCCCTCCCTGCGGGTACCGTGTGACTGTGCAGCATTTTGATGTTTTTGTGTCCTTGTTCTGTAGCTACAGAGGCGGAGAAGGACGGCGTGCCAGTGTTTAAATTCCCCCGATGGAGGCTGAAAGGGAAGGCCATCCCTGAGGTGGTAGATCAGTACAAGGCTGTGGGAGCGGAGCTTAATGTGATGCCTTTCTGCTCGCAGTTCATCCCCATGGAAGTCATTGACTTCCCCAAGCACGGCTCCATAATTTACCACCCTTCCCTGCTGCCTCGACACAGGGGCGCCTCGGCCATCAACTGGTAAAGATCCGTGCTGTCTTTTTCATTTCCAGCCCATGTTGTCGTCTAGCGCCGTTTATCCGTGTCTATTCTGCAGGACAGTGGCTGGGTGTTGTTGTAATTGAGCTGAGTGACCTTTGATTTCTTTTCATGCTCTTGCAGGACCCTGATCCATGGGGATAAGAAAGGCGGTTTCACACTTTTCTGGGCGGACGATGGGCTGGACACAGGCCCCATCCTCCTGCAGAGAGAGTGTAATGTGGAGCCCAATGACACAGTGAACACCATCTACAACAGGTTCCTCTTCCCAGAGGGGGTTAAAGGCACAGTGAGTCGCATTCAGGAAGATAGATTCATTTCAGGAAATCTGCCTTTGCCAGAACTAACAAATCAAAGGGTTGAACCATTATGGTGCAACACCTACAGTATTTCCTGCATATAAGAAAGTGTTCAGAGCCACAAAGAACATTATGAGTAACAATCCACTCCAGTAATTATAAAAACTCGAAATGTTTTGAGAATGATGTGTACATAAAGATTCTGTTTGCACTATTCCATAGTAGCTAGAACTAACATTACAAACATAGTCTCGAGGTATCAAGCCAAGAAATATATTTCAGTATACTGTTTCCAGTCAATTTGTTTTGATAAATGCTGTGCAGTGCATCTAAAACAGACTTTAAAATTGTGTCTCTGTATACAGTATTTTTCATGTCACTTCAAATAAGTAGAGTTCACTGCAGCTAGATGTCAGATATCACTGAAATTAAATGTAGAGCATACTGTGTAATGGGTGCTATGGTACTGTAGCTTGTGAGGTATTGTCTGTTAATCTAGACGAATGTTGAAGTTATATCAACATGTCTGGTAAGAGGTCCCAGTCTGTGTCCTGGTCTTCCAGCAGTCTGCTCAGTTGCATCAAACATGGTATTTGTTTGCAGGTGGAGGCTGTGAGACTCATTGAACAGGGGCAAGCTCCAAGGATAACACAGCCAGAGGATGGAGCCACCTATGAGGGAATCCAAAAGAAAGAGAATGCAAAGGTCTGGTCAAATCTGGTTTCAGGAGCACCTTTATAAATCATGATGAGATTGCTCAAGATATGGGTAGACAGAAACAGCAGAGCTCATATTGAATTCATACAAAAAGATCTGTGATACAGGGTTAGTCAAAATGCTGTCGACGACTTTGATATTTATACTTTCATTGGGAACCTTTTTTGTCACAGTAACCCATGTAATTAATTTGTAATAAACTGTCAAAGTTTCTAACAGTTACCTTCAATCTTTCCCAATCTGTGGAGGAGAAAACAAAAGCTTAGTAAAATAATTGGCATTCATACTTGTCAACAACATTTTGACTAACCCTGTACTATTTTACACTTCCCCACTACATACAGTATGATGAAACACATTATAATGATGCGGTATGTGTTTAATTAGTTGAATAATGTAATTATTGGAAAACCGTCTCTCATATAGAAAGCTTTATTTATATATCAGGTGGGCAGCTGCGTCAGCATGGCTGCAAAGGAACAAGTAATAGGTTTATTCCATGCTGAAAAAAAGAAGAAAGAGAACACAACGTTTCGGCCGTGGAGCCTTCTTCAGGTGTGAGCACCTGAAGAAAGTATTTATTTATATATCACGATATTATGTAGGGATCTGACTCAGTCCATTCTAGTGTACAACCCACTGCTCAGTTATAAGTATTTGATTACAGTAATCAAATGATTAAAGAGCTTGTTGTGCCAAGTTCCACGAATAAAATTTGATTGGGAGGATAAATTATAACTTAGATGGGCACTAAATGACGAGACAGAGAAATATAAGGTACTTTTGTTGGCAAACATCTTCAGAGTGAGAAAAGGGGTGTTTCTTGGGTAGGCCTATATTTATCTTTATCAAAGAGTACACATAGTTTTGACATAATAAGAGATGTTAAGTGTAAGTTTTGTTTTATTTTGAGTAATATATTTCAGCACTGTTGTGTACAAGTGAGGAACAGAGGTTTACAGGCATGCATGTGTAATTGTAAAATAAGAACCAGAATAGACATTTTAAGACACGCATGTTCAGTACATTATTAAGTGCATATATTGCTTTGCTGTGCCTGTAATCACCAGAGGTTGATGTGTGTCCCTGTCACCTGGTTTCTGCAGATCAATTGGGACCAGCCTGCTGAAGTTCTTCACAACTGGATTCGAGGGAACGACAAAGTGCCAGGAGCCTGGGCAGAGGTGGATGGCCAGGTGTGTAGTGATGCGTAACAGCCCAGCATGCATACCTGTATACTGTAGTTACAGGTTCTGTATTAGAATGTTTGCTATGAGGAGACTGTAGAAGGTTATTATTCTGCTCAAGCTGGGGGGGGGGGGTGGCATCTAGTTTACCTTCAGTTCTTTGACAGAGAATTTAGGCATTCTCAAGAAATGTAAGATATCCTTGATTACTTATTGCTCTTGTCTGTTGGAATAAATAAAAGTAACGTGGTTTGAACATGGAAGTGTGTTACTAAACTAATCTCATCAGAACTGAAGAGCTAAGCAGTTCTGCACCTGGTTAGTGCTGGGGTGGGCTTCTGCTGTAGCAGTGGCCCACTTCTTCAGCTGATCACCTGTGTAACTGAGCTACTAGCTCATGATGCCTCAGTGCACCACCTACAGTACAAGGGTACTGAGTGCACTGCAGTTGTGAAGTGCTTTGGGATCTTGAGGATGGCAAGGACTAGGCAAATGTAATTACTTGTTATGATGTACATGAGGTGCTTGATGTGAACAACTGTGAATAGTCTTTACTGCTAGATTAAAGAGATTCAAAAAGATTTTCATTGTTATTATTTTATTCATGGTTATACTATAGTGTATGTGAATTTGCTCGTTTTTATCTTCTGCACTGCTTATGCAATATGCAAAATACTGTTTTAGACACTTATAAATATTACAGAGATCATGAACGTTAGCTATTATATTGAGCCACTTTAATGGAAAAAAAATATCAAGGTCTTATACAAGCACTTTATAATGACTCAGTACAGTACAGTATATGGTATAGGTACTGTAAATACAGTATGTCTTAGTTTGGTCCCAAATGTCTCAGACGAAAATCAAACATATTTGGTATCTAAGCAAGTTGTTTTTGTTTCCTGTAGAAAGTGACTTTCTATGGTTCTTCAATGATGGACACCACTACTGTACCTGATGGTCAGTCTCTTGAGATACCAGGAGCCAGCAAACCAGGACTGGTTACTAAAAATGGGCTGGTCTTGTTTGGTAATGACGGCAAGATGGTAATATTCTCTGGATTTTCTTTGCTTTGTGTTTTGTTTTCTTTGCACTGAATTTAAATTCATCTGTAAAGGCAGGTCTTCAAAAAATGGAGTTTGTGTGTATTTAATTTCTCAGTAGAAAGTTTTTAGGAAAATAGTAGTTCTCCAGCCATGTCGATCTTCTTAATCTGTCTGTTTTAAACATTTCATGTTGTGTTCTTTTGACAGATTTAAACTGGCACTTTACTACAGGCAATTTTAAGAACCAAGCCATTCCTAGGCACCTTTTCATTGGTTGCCAAGGAATGATCTCCTGTTTTTCCAATTACCTGTAGTAAATACTAAAGTTTTAAAATGTAGAGCTCACTAAACTATGATGAAGCCTAGGGTTTTGTATCACTTCACTTTTGTGATAATTAATTCTTCAAAAGGCATAACTGAGCTTATGTACAGCTACAAAGAAATAATTTGATGAGTTGAACGTATCCCTTTGTAACATCTGTTTGTTTCAATTCAGATTAAATAGAATTAATGCAAGTCACTTTCTGCAAGTCAGTTGAATCTAGCAATGAAAGGCAATTCAGGCACAAATTTAAAAGGAAGTTGTGAGAATTTTGGAATCTCTGAAACAAGCAGTCAATATTACAATGTCATGTACCCTGAAAACCATCTCATGTTTTACATTTGTGAAAAATGTGCTTTGTTCCCCACATATTGTGGTTGAATGCAGGCAGGTCAGGTTCTGAATATCCTGACTCTCTGACTCTCTAAGGATGAGGCAATTGCAACCAGATGGATGGATTATAATTTAATACTGATGGGATTAACAACTATTGATGATCTTCAGTTTCTTACTGCAACATGACACTTGGGCTTTACATAACTCAAAATGTGAAGCCAATTGATTTACAGTGCCTAATGGATTACACAAGGCCTTTGGTCTTTTCTCTTATGTGGGACATGGACATTCCTTTTTATGCCCGTTTGTATAGTCAGCCGCTTTAATCATCCATGTCTTATAAAGGGAAGGGGGCTCATACATTTTACTGATAAAATTCCTGAATCACATGCTAGTTCCACTGCAGTTCAACACATTAACTAGCACATATTTATTTTCACTGCATCCCAGTTTCACGTCCTTCATCTTGAAACTATCACTTTTAGCTCAAAAATATCAACGATGGACTGTTTTTAAATTAATAGAAGTAGCCTGTTACAAATTACCTGCTCCCATGTGTATGCCACGTTAGTGATAATATGAGTCTCATTGCCAGAACTACCTCTAATTATCTGGACAAATGTTAGTATATTTAATAAATGAACCATACACTAACTGTCCATTTACACTGTACTTGTATCAAGATATCGAACAGTAGTTTCTGTTATAATTGTAATACCTTAAATGATAAGAAAAGAAGTCCAACACTGTCAGTTGTAATCCTAATGGTTTAATTCACATTCATGTGATGCATTTTAAGTTGATATTGGCATTATGATCCCTGGGAGGGTGACTTTCTGTGTGCTTTTCTGGGTAGCTGTTGGTGAAGAACCTGCAGTTTGACGATGGAAAGATGATTGCTGCATCTCAGTATTTCCACTCTGGCGACAGTGCCTCTGTGGAGCTGACAGATCAAGAGAAGCGCTTTGCTGAAGAGTTACGGGTGAGGCTGACAACACCTCGCAGAACAACATCACAGTTGTTCTGCGAACATTTTTGTGAAAGACAGGCAAAAATAAACACCAGCATCGAGCTTGTATATTTATTATCTTTCTACAGTTTTTAGCTTGTCATTTTCAGATTGTTTAAAGTCTGCCACAAGAGGTCCTGTTACCTTCACTTATTTCCAAATGTAATTACTTGTTTTCTGATTGACCACATATTTATTTAATGGAATTAACATATATTACCCTGGCATTATATAAATACATTCATCCAATACCATGACTTTTGTATGTACAGCCTTCTGGAAAACAGTTTATAATTATGGTCTATCCTATCTTGATATGACTAGTGATAAAATTGTAACTATATTGGTATAATAGCTAAAAGTAAAAACATGATAAGGTTCCTCAACAGTTAAAGAGCTGGTTCAGTGTATTAATTTGACAAATTAGACTGAAAACCTTAATTACCTCTGAGCATGTCAACAGTCTGCCAAATTCAGAAGGCTTTGCCAGGAACTGAACACAGTTGTATTTGAGTTGGAATAAACTGCATTTTCACTTTTTCTTCCCAATAGGCCATCTGGAAAGGTATTCTGACAAACGTAGATGTAATAGAACACTCAACTGACTTCTTCAAGTCTGGTGCAGCGTCCATGGATGTTGTAAGGTAAAAGCCATGGTAGTTGCGTAAAAGCATTCATGCTGTGCTTGTGGATCTCCTCCCACAAATGTATTGGCCAGGTCACAGAGGATTTATTCTTAGTACCACTTTGCCCTGATTATCATCAAGCGGTGCTGTTTCCTCATGGCTCCTCTACAGGCTAGTTGAGGAGGTGAAACTGAAGGGAGCTGGGCTGCAGATCCAGAACGAGGATGTCTACATGGCCACCACCTTCCAGGAGTTCGTTCAGATGCTTGTGCGGAAGCTGCGAGGAGAGGACGCAGAGGGGGAGCTGCAAGTCGATTACGTGCGTGTCACGTGACACCGAGATGATTAATATTAGCCATGGCCAGTGAAAACTCCTGTTTTTTATTGCCTTTTTTCTTTGCAACATAGCCAGTTTCCTATTATCTAATACAAAGTGCTCCGTGAAAAGGAGTTATTTTCTGCCCTGGTGCTGTACTAAGTTGTGTTTTTGTTTCTAGCGGAGTTCCCATTTTGGTTTATGAGGCTATCTGAATAGTTTTCAGCTCCTAAAAAGTGGGTAATTTCCCTAAAACAAGCAAGGTAGTTGGCTCTGTCTTAGGGCCATATATACTGTATATAACTTAACAAAGCTGTCTAAAAGTGTATTCAGAGTTATTACTTACTATACTGTATATACTGATATTGACATGCTGGTTGGAATCAGTGCAGCCCTAGTAATGTTAGGCTATCAGGGTTTTAGACTGTGTATAAAAAAACAAACAAATAGCCCAATTATTCCAAATAAGTTTTTAAAATGAGGTTTGATTTTTCCCTGCAGTAATATTTGTGGCATAAAACATGATCTATATCTTATCTATATGGATATGCATCTACCTTATTATACCTTAAAGGTTTCTCCTTTTCTATTAGGTTGAGATGAATGTGAACAACATGACTGTCAAGATGCCTCACCAGCTTTTCATTAACGGCCAATTTGTTGATGCGGAGGGAGGGAAAACTTACCAGACCATTAACCCTACAGATGGAACAGTAAGAAAACACACTCAGATGTTTGTATTGCCTGCAAACCTCTTCACTGCATGGATGGATGGTAGTTGGCTCTATTTTAAGGCCATATGTATGGTACACTGTGCTTGATAACAGATACCTTTTCTAGTACGGAAATATGACCTATCTATTTTGCATCTGAAAATTTTGATTACAAAAATGTGGTGCATTACATTAAATTTTGAAAAGTTAAGAAAAAATGATACCAAAGTATATGACTGGTTTTTCAGCCTACTGTATAACCTCTTCATTACGCTGGAAAACTAACTAGATCCTTAATTATTTCATTGGTAATCAGTGGGGTTAATATAGCAATTAAGGTGCTGGCCATACCAAAGTCCTGCAAAGGGGTATATTGGAAGTGCAGGAAGATTGAGCAGCCCTGGTCTAAGAGAACACTTGGTTGAGAGCGTTGATCCATATGAGCTTTGTTTTTTACTACTGATTGGATATTTTACTTAGGATATTATGTCTTCTCAGATATACATAACTGGGGGTAGTTAAGAATTGTTTTGCAGCCTACCTCTGAGGTCCAAACCTCTTTTTGTCTCTAGGCCATTTGTAACGTATCCTTGGCCCAAGTCTCTGATGTTGACAAAGCTGTTGCCGCAGCAAAAGAAGCCTTTGAGAATGGCGAGTGGGGAAAGATGAATGCCCGAGACCGAGGGAGGCTGATTTACAGGTAGGTATCCCTGAGAATGTCCATGACGACTTGGCATAAGAGGAATTATTAGTTTCTCTCCCATGATTTTCTTTCTCAAATAAACTCATTCTCCTGCAGTTTCTGTTTGCTGACAATTTCAGGAATACGTGGTTGTTTAAAAATACTCAGATATTTTACAGTAATATTAGTAGTTGTGTAAGCCTGTTTAGCTTTGCATAATTTCAAAATAATGAAAAATGATTTTAATGTATTCATTATGCAAATACAATATTTGTAGAATATTTCATACACTTACCATATATTCATGCCTGAATAGTAATCCATTAATTTATTTACTATTTGTTAAAAAATATGAACGTCTCTTCTTCTAAGCATGTTACACACCAATTCACCCTCGCAAATGGTAGTTCTCATAAAATAAGCAATTTAAGATGCATGGTGCCAGTGTTCATGTCTGGAACTCTGTACTGTAAGTGTCTTTACTTGTCTGAGGTTTGTCCATGCAGGCTGTTTGCATGAAAACTGTTCTGTCTCCTCTCCTAGACTGGCTGACCTCATGGAAGAGAACCAAGAGGAGCTGGCCACCATTGAAGCCATTGACTCAGGTGCTGTTTACACCCTCGCTCTGAAGACACATGTGGGAATGTCCATCCAGACCTTCCGCTACTTTGCAGGCTGGTGTGACAAGATACAGGTGAGACTATTGGGTCTTGATCCTTTAGAAGTCCCACCTCTTAGGATGGCTTTAACATTGCATCACAAACAAAGTTCTAAGTATCCTAGTTAAGCACTTGCAGTCCTTTTAACATGGTTTTCTAATTTTTTCATTGTTTGTTTTTTTATTTTTGTCCTAGTGCATGTCTTTGCTACAGTATGCATTTACTCCAATTCACTACACTGGAGTATAATAATGACATATGTTCCTAAGCACAACACTTAATATTAAATGTTAATACTGATCACTCCATTTCCTTATTATTTCATTTTGTAGAACAAGTTATAATGACTTAAAAAAATAAAAATCTTGGAAGCCTAGAGGAGGCATATTTAGTGTTGCCTTGTATGTCAAGGATCATGTGTGACTTATGTAATACTTTAATGTTTCATGTTTTCATGTCATCTGCTACTCTTATGACCTCTGAGAGATATATTATTAAAACCCTTCTTCTTAGTTACTCTAAAGAAGTTACTCTTTTCCCCAGATGATGCATGGTGTTATGAGTATGACATCAGGTTTGTATAGTATTTTTATTTTAGATTTGAACACTATGCAGCAACATAATATAGTACATCTGAAATACATCTGGGACATTTCTGATGTATTGTCCAATAGATATTATACTTACAAATGTTTATTATTTTAACCAAATGGAATTTACAATTAGTGTTAAGGTGGAAAGATAATATGAATGTATCATGAAATTAGGTGAATTTTAAAATGTATTAAGAATAAAAGACTGTTAGAAATAGTAAATGTTTCTCAAGTCAGCTTTGAGTTTGAATTTCAAGTTCTGATGATACAAGACGCAAGATTAAATAATACAGGGAGTATACAGTTGGTCTTAATTTGCTAACACATTACTCTGAATTCTCAGGGCAGTACCATCCCCATCAACCAAGCTCGGCCCAATCGAAATCTGACTTTCACAAGGAGGGAGCCAATCGGGTGAGATGTTTTACCTTGAACAGAGTCCGGGCTTCCACCATCTGGATAGTGTCTTCTGAGATGTTTCTGCAAAACAATGTACAGTGGTGTGGTGTCATCGCCTTTTTCTGCTGCTTTGTGTCTGCAGCAGTCTGCATTACTTCACATGTAGAATAGAATAGAATCTTTATTGCCACATTACTGAGGCCAGTGGAAATTGTTGTTGGTACAGCTTTGCTACAGACGTTTGACATGTGACAAACACATACAGAATATAAATACAGGACCAGAATGCACAATATACAATACAGATGATTAAAATACAGGACGACGAGAGACAGTACACAATACAGAACATAATAATTCACTCTATAATCGAATATGAATATGTTGAGTTGATGCCCTGCAATTTAAACATAGACAAATCAGTGCAATTAAAATGTGATACAGGTCATAATACATACGAATACAAAAGATCATGTTCCAAAACTATTTTGGATATACAAAAATATGTATACAATACACATTATGATGAGTGTATATGAGAAGAATGCATTTTTATTTATGTGTGCATAGTGGAATGGACCACAGTGCTCTGATCACATCTGAGTGACTTGTTGCTCTATAAATATACAACTTACATAGTTGTGCTTCTTGTGGCAGAAATAGAAATCTAAAGGTTAATTAATGATGGATCAAACTGCGGCTGGACACTACTCGAAAGTCAGCAAGAAAGAATAATTAAAATACAGAACTTGAACCTAGTGCTCTTGTGGAAAACAAAATAAATATTGAAAGCCCCAGAGCAGACCAAACGTAAAGAGCTATTGACCTCATTTAATTAAACTCATTATGGATGTTCTCCACAGTGTTAATCTGTAATTGATACTGAGCCTTTTATGGAGCACATTTCTCACTGGAAAAAGCTCAGTACTGTGCATCACGTTCTAGTGAGCATGCAGTTACGCAAACTGCCAGTTCTTTTGCATGTGATTTCAGTCAGGTTCTGAAGTCTGCTTTTCCTTGGCAGGGTGTGTGGAATTGTTATTCCATGGAACTACCCCCTCATGATGCTGGCCTGGAAGGCAGCTGCCTGCTTAGCTGCTGGCAACACAGTTGTATTAAAACCAGCCCAGGTCAGTGTAAAGTGCATGATGAACAATCCTTCATGAGGGCATACGAAAGCAAATCGAAGAACTGAGTCTGAAACCATCAAGACCATTGAAAAACGGTCTTGGAAATCTGTCATCTTCATTAAAGTGTCTTCTTAAATGATATTGTAATTCATCTGAAATATGCTGGAAAAAGGTTTCTCATACCACAAAATATGAGTTGTATAACAAATAGGGTCTGCCCTGGGTCAAGATTAAAGTGTCTACTAAACTTTTAATGAAAAGAAGCTGACGAATTTCTTTGCGACGGTCAAGTGAAGCGAGTTTCAATGTCTTGATTGACAGAACTGGAAAATTTTGAAAACGCAGTAGTCTGCAGTGAGACCAAATCATTATAGATAAAACAGAAATAAAAGAAATATTTTTTTTTACTTTCCTCGCAGCAGGGTAAAGGGTGTGGTGTTTTATTAAACTCTCTATCAGTAAACATTCCCAATAGTCACTGATACTGCTTTAGCTAAGTAATTCCTGTTTTTATTCTGGTCTTTTAAATATGAAGATTTTAGTCACTATGTCTATATTTATATAGTAAATAGTATATAGTATATATTTATTAATTGTTTATATCATAGTATTTAAATATTCATTTTACATCCACAATCTCATAGCAGTATGATACCCTATGGTTTTACATCCACTACAGTATAGTACTGTATGTGTGAAATATTTTTCATAATCAAAATTAAAATTAAATTGCTTGCTGATTACTTGTTGCTGAAATGTGCATTAAGACAGAATATAGATTTTCTTCATGTTGATGTAAACCTGAATGAGGCGCATTGCGTTCACAACAAGCAATTTATAAACATACCAAGAAGGATCACTCTGATCAGGACTTGATCTGCATTCCTCAGAATAGCAAGCCCTTGTCTTAACTTCTGTGCTAAACTGCAGCTGGTGTGCATTGTGCTACTTTACGGTCTATGAGCATTTCATTGTCCATTAACACCATAAGGACAATAAAAGTTTTAAAAAAAACGAATATCAAAATGTGTTTCCACAATACCCATAAGTGAATTTTTTTCTGCCAAAATGTCTTTAGTTCGATTCCGTATTATTATTCCCTATCATTTGGTATTAAATTAGTATTACACCCTTTTTTTACAACAAAAACAGCAAGTGTTCTGTTTACATATTCTTAGAAAAGTATAAAATATGATCACTTTTTATGAAGTATATTACATTTATATAATTAGAACAAACACATCAAAACTTTTCCAAGCAATAAAAAATATCTACAGGTGCAGATTTTAAATATCCACATTTTGCAAATATAACAAAAAAAGTTGAATAAGAATTTCTTTCAAGCCATATCAATGTCAGTATCAGTAGTATACCTGTTTAATTGTCCCCAGTGGTTGTATTTTGTGAGGTGTATTAGCTAGGTTTTGTAGATTTTGTTCATTTTTGTGATAAGGTCATGTCTTCTTTTAAAATGTGATTTTTACGTCCAGTTTCTTTGTCATTAAAGTTTGCCCTTTGTGCAATTTTTTCTCATGCAGTTATTTTCTAAATTGGGGTGTTTCTCTTTCCAGGTCACCCCACTTACTGCTATCAAGTTTGCAGAGCTAACCGCAAGGGCAGGATTTCCTAGGGGAGTGATCAACATTCTCCCTGGAGCAGGTATACTGTTTTCCAGGTTCAGAACACCTACTGTATGTCTTTTTCATATGGAACTCCATCTATCTCTTGATTTTGCTACCTACAGTACATGCAAAATCCTGTACTTGCCTGTATTAAATGTCATCTGCCGAGTGTTTACGCAGTATACTTTTTTTTAGGATCTTTATACCACATCACAATCAGGAGCATTATGAGTTTATTCAAGCTTCCACCAGTTATTATTTTATTAATAATTTGCTATTATTAGTAGTAACGTGGAGTTTTCACATTGATCACATAATCACTCAGCCTTTGATCACAACAACTCAAACAAACGAGATAAAAATATGAGCAGCCAGTACCAATTTTTGTAGTAGCTGATCCATCTCATTTCCCAGTCAAATGTAATTTGCACATCCTTGTCATTATCAAAAATGTATTTCTTTCTGTATATCAATAAACCTAAGGGGCTAGGTTTTGTACTTCAACAACACAGATGTATCAGGATTAACTGTTAACATGGAACAAAATAGCTAAAATTGCAATAGGATAATTTCTTACTGCTGCTACAGAATATAATTTATTGTGGAATCCCTGTATTGGCTACTTATGTTTAGGAGATTCTAGATTTATTTTAATATATTGTACTCATTTGCTTATAAGTGAGAGGTTTTTGGTTATAGGAGGTATATAAAAACTATCAAAAACAATCAGAAACAAAAAAGCAGAATGAAGAGAGAGGAATAATAGAAAATGCTATGAGTTTTGTACAGCAGCGTATGGTTTTTTGTTTTTCCTGACTGTGAAACTGTTGGCTTGGTTTGGATTTTCAGGTTCCCTGGTAGGACAGAGGCTTTCAGACCATCCAGATGTTCGCAAAATAGGGTTTACAGGCTCCACTCCAATAGGAAAACAAATTATGAAAAGGTAAGACTCTAGTCATGTTGTGTTCAGCTGTTTTTTACTACATACAGTATATGGGAACTCCTGATTTTGGAATCCTTTGGGAGATACTGGATTGGGGCCTACAGACGTCTGGCTTTACAACTTAACATTTGTTTTTTTACCATGAAAGGTAGATACAGTAATACAGTAAGAATTAGTAGCAAGTGATCTACCCCTGAAGGGAACAGAATTAACAATATGGGAAATTATGAAAGGGTTGTTTTACATGTAATTGTTGATTACTGTCAAAAAGTCTGTTGTACAGTGAAATTTGTCCACACATACAGCTCCATAGAATGAATTGTGGCTTTTATGAAGACACATTTAAAATGACAAGGGAAGTAATGGAGGTCATGGTTTAATTTAGGGTGAATGTTGGAACTGCAAAACACATATGAAAATAAACTCAGAAATGCTTGAGCTGGATTTGCACAGAAAAAAAAAGTATAATATATCAATACTCGCTACTCAAAATGTAGTTTAAATTTAGCCCATGAAACCACTAAACATTCACAGAGGAGATGTTGAAATCCTCTGCCCCCTGCCCTTTTCTGATTTTTTCCGACAGTAATAAAAAGGTGTGGGCATTTTGTGAAATTAAAAGCGTCTCGTCTTTCCAGCTGTGCAGTGAGCAATGTAAAGAAGGTGTCTCTGGAGCTGGGAGGGAAATCCCCACTCATTATATTCAGTGACTGTGACATGGACAAGGCTGTGCGCATGGTACAGTATGCTTAAGAACTGTCAGACCTTAAATTCAGGTATTACTGAGCAGGTCTACCACCAAAGGGCGGAAAAGAAATACTATAGTAACTTATTAAAGTAGTCTATTAAAATACAATAATGAAAATATTTTTCAAGTGCAGTATTTATACAGTAACGGTACTCATGTATTCATTCACCTGACACCTTAACCTTATACAACTTAAAAAACTGAATCACATAATGGAACATTAAAATCTCAGGTGTAGAAGATTATACTATAAAGCATGTAAATGTATAGAAGCGATATGCTACAGATTTTACTTTATTGATTCACCTATTGCATTTACTATTTTTACCGTACTTTGATACAAAGTCCAGTATATTATAGCTCAGTCTACAGGTATGTATGAAATAATGTGCTGAAGTGATTGTATTTTGCTACAGTTTTTCATGTGACCTGCTGGACAATAAGCAATGTAAAAATGATGCCGTTTGCTATTTTTATTGTAGAATTTTTCTGTAGTAACAGGTTCAATTAGTAAAACTGTATAGGTGGTAATGATTAGTAAAACTGTTCCTCGTCACACAATTACCATGTACGGTACACCATACTTTTCAAGTTCATCATTTAAATTCACTGGCAAAGACTAGGCTACAGGGAGTTGGTTAAACACACCAAGAAATAATCAGAGGTTAACTTTCTGATATTCTGTTTTCCTAAAGGGGATGAGCTCTGTGTTCTTCAACAAAGGAGAAAACTGTATTGCTGCTGGCAGGCTTTTTGTGGAAGAATCAATTCATGATGCGTTTGTGAGGAGAGTGGTAAGTCTTTCATTTTATCAGTTACTGTATCTATTATTTCAAACCCCATGTGAAGATTCACAGTGTTGTAGAAATATATCATATACAACCAATAAAAAAACAGGATATTATAATGCACTTGGTTACATTGTAAAAGCCATTGAAAGTGTAAGATAACAAGTAAAATTCTTTCTAGTTGTATGGCACTGTAACAAGTACAGTATGTCAGCAAGACCCGGCGTAATCTGATTGCTGGGTTTTTCTCCAGGTGGAGGAGGTGAAGAAAATGAAAATTGGGGACCCCTTGGACAGGTCAACTGACCACGGCCCCCAAAATCACAAGGCCCATCTTGAGAAGCTGATCCAGTACAGCCAGACTGGGGTGAAGGAAGGAGCCCATCTGGTATATGGAGGCAAGCAGGTAGATCGCCCAGGTAAGCAGTTAGCTGTGACTCGGCTTTGGAGAAATCCCCTCTTTTCATATAGTCTTCATTCTTCTTTTGCTGTTCATTGTGAAATAATATACATAAAGTAAAAACAGCAGATTTTAACGTGATATTCAGTACCTATAAGAGTCAACTGTACTCATGTCTATTTTTTGTTTTTATTCATGTTGTTGTTCACACCTCCTCCAAATCTGTAGTAGATCTGATCCTGTAATGCAGTTATCTGATTTGTGTGAACAGAAAAGCTGTGGCAGAGTTAACTAAAAAACACTACAAGGAAGCACCCAGTCGAGTTAGTATTTTGATCCCTGTTGAAATATCTGTTTAGATAACACAGGCCAAGACACCGTCTAGTACACATCTGTGATTGAAGCTCATACACTTCTTTTCATGAAAAGTGTCTTGAAATGTTAGAAATGTTAACAACATGCATGTGTATTTATATACTTAAATTGAATTTATTTAAGTATAGTTTCAATTCAAATTGGAATTATTGTGAGTTATTGCATGGCCCTACTCTTGAGGACATCTGCTCCACATTTTCTTTGCGTATTTTAGGGTTTTTCTTCGAGCCCACAATATTTACCAATGTGGAGGACCACATGTACATTGCTAAGGAGGAGTCCTTTGGGCCCATCATGATAATCTCCAGATTCGAAGATGGGTAAGTGAACACAAGCACAACTGCTTGGAGATTTATCAGGTTTCCAAATACAATTACAGAACTGAGAAGCATGACTGCTACTGTCGTCTTCTGATGTGTTTCTCTAAATTTGGAGTTCTTTAATTGATTTTTCTGTTTATGCACCCACCAATTTGGAATCTAGAACTTTTAACGAGCTTGTCTCACTGCTACAATCCCTGCACTAGCACAGGAAAGAGCACATGATCACACTCTACAAAACACGCACAGATGCCATCTGCTTCTGTTCAAACTGCCAGCTTCTATGATGCGGCTCACAACGATAACATTGAAAGCTCAATAGTACCGATTCAACCCCCATGGTGCTCACTCCCAGTTGCACACTGTAGCTTGAGAGGGTACTCACATCTGGCTGTTGATAAAGTGAAATTGTATTTTCCTGCTTGTCCCACTCTGCAGCATGGCTTACTTCAGCCTGACTTAGAGTGATGCAGTACCACAGACACAAGCCTGAAAGTCCTAATAATGAAGTAACATATGTTGCAAACTTTAAGATTTTTTAACTTTCTTTAACTAATTATCCAACTTTAAAACAAACAATGTGTTTAAAGAAACTGAGATATTTTTACAGACAATGATAATCTGCATATGCTGTTTACAATAATGTTTCTTTTTATTGTTTGTCAATTTAGCTTTGTTTAATCCTCTAAGTTCCTTTGTTTCACTTTTAGAGATATTGATGGCGTTCTGAAACGGGCCAATGATACAGAGTTTGGCCTGGCATCTGGAGTGTTTACCAAGGACATCAACAAAGCGCTGTACGTCAGTGAGAAGCTGCAGGCAGGCACAGTGTTTATCAACACCTACAACAAGACAGATGTGGCATCTCCCTTTGGAGGCTTCAAGCAATCTGGCTTTGGAAAAGATCTGGGTGAGTTGTCTAGTCCCTGGCCAGAGAAACTTAAAATGAATCTTTTACAGGTCAGTTTCACTTTATGTTATCATGTTGCATATTGTTAATGTTGGGTAACATAGAGAATATCTGGTCCAGTGTAAGTGTAAAAGTAGAAGTGTAATGAGAGTAGTTCTGCATCTCCAGAGTTTCGTTCACAATCGCTTGCAAGCACAGACTATACACAGCACCACTCCCTAGACAGTGGTGAGAGAATTCTACTCTGTCTAGGTTCCTAAGGGATGGCGTCAGATGGACAGGCCCAATCGAGCCCTATCAATGCAGCACCAGTTCAGCACCAGTTCAAAAGCAAATACTAGTTTCAAAATAAGATAGCTCAGTACCACAGGTTATATTAGTGTGCACTACATAAATAACCTGACAGCAGGTTTTTTCATTTCACATTGTTGTACCTATTGTAACTATTTTATATACTGTACAAGAGGGTATTTGAATCTGGTGTATGTCACTCCCATCTGCTTGACACTTTTGACTCCATATCAAAGGTGACTCCATATCACTTGGGTGTGAACATACACATTAACCCATTACTAAACTGCCTGTGACTGCTGTATGAATTCAGTGTACTCAAAGAAGGACCACTGACTGAGATTTGTATTAAGCTGCATTGACGTACAGTCTGGTGCTGCCACCAAGCAGAGAGAGTTTAAAAAACTCTGCTTGAATTTTGCAGGAACAGTAGAAGGTGCGCTTCTCACTCCTGTAGAGATAGCAGGCCCAGCCCATTTCATTTGGGCCCATAGCAGAAACTGAATTTCATCAAAGTCATACCCCACTTAATGTTTTACTATTACGATCATCAGCACTTTCTTATTATTTTCATATTCATGTGAAAACATATATAAAGGTGATCAAATAGAAATGTTCCTCTGCTTCAATCCTCAAAGGGCCACAGTCCAGCAGGTTTTGTACAGTAGGTACTTTGTTATTATTCCTTTAGATCTGTGAAAGAAAATTAAATCTAATGTGAAGCCCAGGTGGAATAAAAACAAGATCACATTTTGATCCTCAGTAACCAGGGCTGAGGAACAGTGTAAGAGTTTACCTTCAGACTTGAATTGGGATAATATGCATGGGCTTGTCCCCATCCCACTTGTATTAAATACACCAGGAACACCAGCACTTTGAAAGTTTGTGTGAGAGGTCCTTCAGGATATTTTACGTTAAGAAACTGGTGGGTTTGCATAGCTAATATTGATTTTATCATTTTGTCTTGTAGGTGAAGAAGCACTTAATGAATACTTGAAGACGAAAGCTGTGACTATAGAATACTAACAGACAAGGACACATACTGTCAATTCTCCAGAGCCAGCGCTACATAATCTAAACACAAGAGAAACTAACAAAATATTTTTTTTCTTTGTTTTTAATTTTTTTCCCCAAAATACATTTGAAGCACATTTGTCTGGCACAGATCCCAAAACTCCTCCTGTCCTTCAGTGTAATTCTTTATAAGTTTATTTTGGGTTTTACCATTTACAAAAATCAGAACTTAAAGGTAAGAAATGTGACGGGACGATTTGGTCATTCTAGTATGTTTGGATGCTAGTAGATAATTTGAAGATTTCATCAGACAAGATGGGTATCTCATTTTAGACTTCCACAACACTTTTTGAAAAAAAAACCCCACCTTTGTTCTCAAGTTTAAATGAATGTACTTCCCCTTCAGAGAGAGGATCATTTTTTTTTGCCCTCTGGTTTATGCTTCTTTGTTGAATCCACCAAATGTCCATTGGGTAGACTTTGAGGATTTTGAATACTTGAATTGCATTCTCTGCTAGTCTTCTCTGCTCAAGATTATAAAGACCCAGATCTTTTAACCTGTCAGAGTAGTGGACTCTTCAAGTTTAGAAATATACTGTATCTGCTTACTCTTCTCTGGACACACACACCCCCCCTGCTGTACGGCCGATTCCACAACAACTATAAATACAATGACCAAAAATAGTGCACACTGTTCTATATGAGGTCTTATTAATACATTGTACATATTTATAACATAACAGCACTTGATTTAATTTCTACACTTTTGAACTATATATTCTAATATTCTGCTTGCCTTATATTCCTTCCATTTTTCTGTGATTCCAATGCCATCATGATGCATCATCATCTCATGTAGATTTTGTCCTAAAATGATTGGAGCTTCTGTCATTTGGAATTGAACTGTTTAATAACCAAAAGATTTGATTAGAAGTTAAATCTATAACCTATGTTTAGAATGGACAAAATACTGAATGATTAAAATAAGTTTCTAATTGTGTTCAATAGAGCACTGTATAATAATGTGAATTTGACAAAAATGGTTCAAATTTATCTGAAAGGACCCTGTTTTTGGAACTATTGCTCATAATGGATGATGTAGAAGTGTTCTGTACTAAAATGCATTTAGTTTAGAAAAGTGATCAGAAATCATAATAACTATAATCCCATAAATGCCATATGCAGTCTTATACATAATTTAAAAGCCTGTCAGAATATGTCATTGAAGTCATACTGTAATTAAATACTGTAATACTGTAATTAAAACCCCATTAAAATTACAGTTCACACTGTTTTCTTTGGTGATGAAGGATGCACTTTTAATTGTTTGGATGAATGTAAAATCTTAAAGACAGCTTATATATTGGAGAGTGTCAGGGTATCAGATGAGTGCAATTTAAATATTTACATCTTATTGACTTCATTGTGTGTTGATTGATCATTTACTTAAAAGATGGAGATGCACCTTACTCACATGATTTCAACTGCAAGATCATTTGTTTCAATTATAATGAAATCATTAAAACTCATCCTGATTTGTAATGTCAGAGTGGATTTTTCAGGGAAACAAAGGCGAAACAGGTGGGTCAGTCAGTCAGGCAGGGAGTCCACTCCCAGCATAATGCTGCCTCCGCTTGCCACCTTCTCTAAGATACTGTAGATGAAGGCAGGCAGGCCATGTGCCCTAATATACTAGCTGAGATGAAATTGAAACCTGTTTGTCTTAAAGTGACATTAACTGGTGCCCCCCTCCACATACACACACCACTCCACTATCGGTTACTTGGAGTATCTTTGCAATCCTGACTTTCACTGACTGCTGGGAGCCCTGAAGAAGTCAGCTGGCACAAGGTACGGTACTTCTTTAGACTTTTATTTATTGCGTTTTGCGAGAATTTACCCTGCGCATACATTTCATCCGCACAATTTGTCTTCATTCAGAGTACTGCACGCAAACTCTGCTTCAATAATATCACCTACAGCGCTGCGAAGTGAAAAGCTGAAATGGGCACTTGCCTGACTAATAGTATTTTTAGATTTCCTTTCATTTTAAACCACTTTTTCAAATTATAAAATAAATCCCCATTTCATATAATTTTTTAAAACATCGTGTTTTATTTTCCAGAACCAAGCCTTGTGCAGTTCATGCTGTATTCACCAGTTCGAGAAAGCCTATGCTGCTTAGCTGAACGTGATTCCATACTGTCAAGAATACCATAGTACTATATAGATACTGTATACTGTACTGTATATGCCTCCCTTTAGAAGATATATGAGACGGGTCCTCCGTTATTACCGATATTAAAAATACACCCACTGGCAGCGGCACATTTCCAAGGAAAACAGCTGTACATCTTACTGTACGTTCAACAAGCTGAAACTGTGAAAATGAGTTTGACCTGTTGGTAGCAAGGTGACAAGTAAATGCTCAGTATACGAAACTGCATTTAAAAATTGTCCTGTAAATTAAATTGCCTTATTCTCTTTGTGTTATGTTTGGAACCTGTAGGCCGGGCAATAGTCGGTGCATACTGCTGTTTAGAAACGTATCTACAGTACTTCACTTCAACTGTGAATGTCACAATTAACAGTTTAGTTCATTCGCGTGAATTGTACCATGATGAGTATAACAGAAAATCCATTTCTGGGACCTACTTGCGCATACTCTATGGTAACGGTGTCACAGATGCCGAACATTTAGAGTTAAAATAAAGTCTATGAAAAAAAAAATCACAATTTCTCTCCTAAGCATTTCAGTGAATTTACGGGTGTGAATTACATGGACATGGGCATACAGTATAAGTGACGATTTAGCATTCCTGGGCCTTATTTGCGCATATGCACTAACTACTCTAAACAATTTTACAATCTAGTCCAGTCCTCTGAGGAAAAGAATGGGATTTAGCAGTAAGAATTATGCAATCATAAGCACAGGTGATCCAAATCCGTACTGTATATCAATTCTGGACAACAGTAGACCTGTACTATTACTAATAGCATTTGTACTACTTCTGCACAAGTAGTCCTGTAAAATAAGTTGAGGATGCGGCATTGCGAATATCGAACGAAGCTCCTCGTGCAATTTATCCAGACGTTTCATAGCTGCCACGTGTTTTAACACATTTTTTACACGGTATAGCTTTTCACCATTCCCTTCTTAATGACTGTACCTCAGACCTCGACTGTGCATTCTCCGAGGGGGCAGGGCTTCAAAACCAGAGAGCACCGCTATCCAACCACGACCTCCAATCATTGCGGTTCTACCACGAATTGAATCTATGGGAGCAGAGCTTTGTCGAATCAGTACAGGAAGAGAGGACAGCGCCGTCTTGCAAACGTGTTATAGTTCTTTGTTTACGTTGTAAATTCTGTATTTTACGCTCTATTTCGTATGTGTTCACAATCACAGAGGGTCGTAGATACTAGTTTTGTCTTTGTAGCACAGTATGTGGCGCTTATACGACTAAGTAAAAGTAAAGGGAAGCTTGACTGTTCTGTCAGAGTGCAGAATGTACGGTAGGAGATGGAAACAATGTAAATGACAGAAAAGGGGGTTGAAATCTGGATGCAATGTCTGAAAATTAAGGTATGGAGTTTTTTTTTTATCTGTAGGCTGTGGTTGCATGTCATCTTTTTTCCCCTGAATGGTTTCTATCATTATATTTTCTAGGTCCTGTTACTGTACAGTGGCTTAAGTTAACTATTTTTATGTGCAATGCGCTCAGACACTTTACAAAACGACGACAGAGGCAATTGTTGTGTTTTATTATAATTATTTCCTGTTAAACAACAAAATTACCCCTTCTTCTGTTCCTTTATGAAACTCGAGAATCTGCGGTACGATTTTCTCCCATTGAGTTATGTCAGAGAATCATACATCACTGGGATATATACAGTATATATACAGTAGTTCAAGTACAGTAGGTACAGTAGCTGCATCAGCATGCGTAGGCTGCAAAGGAACAAGTAAAAGGTTTATTCCATGCTGAAAAGAGAAGAAAGGAAACACAACGTTTCGGATGTGGAGGCTTCTTCGGGTGTCGAAGAAGGCTCCACAGCCGAAACATGTTTCCTTTCTTCTCTTTTCAGCAAGAAATAAACATATACAGTATATATATATACAATCTTCTTAGGTGTTATGTCAACACTGACAAATATTTAAAAGTTATATTTACAACTATGAACAGGAGCATGCTGTTAATAGCCATCTACTATCTATATTTCAAGGTTTTGTACAAAGCGTAAAGATTTAAACAAACAGCAAGCTTACTTACTGATGGGTACTAGGGAACAGGTCAATCCAGTGTCTTACCCAGGTCTGAGAGAACTATGAATAATGCAGTATCTACAGGCAGGGAGGCAGGATTTCTGAGAGGCAATCAGATATCATTACAAGTTCATCATACTTACTATGAAGCATGGTGGCAGTGTCATGATGATGGTTTTCCAAGTTAACCCAGTGCAGTCTTGAAATTTTGGGTGGAGAAAGTGGCACAGTACCAAGACATATTACTGACATAGAGAGTAGTTGTGGACTTGTTGAACAAGGCTTCAGGTTTAAGGAAAAGTTAAAGGCTCACATTGCAAAGGACAAAAGCCCTTTGTTAATTTTCCTTTAGCTAGGAAGAGAGATGTAATAGGAGTCATCTTCTAGAAAGTGATACATTTGTTTCTCTTTACTGACGTAGGATTGACGCAGGAGTCCAGCAGGGGAACACCATGGCTGGGGTGGAGCCGCGGCAGAGAAAAAAAGAGGGCCGGTCGAAGAACGGCGAGCGCTCCAAGCACAAGTCCAAATCCAAGGGCAAGAACAAACACAATGACAGGCAGGCGGGCTCGTCCGAGGGGCAGGATGTGCTGGCGTCACCACAACAGGTTCCCCAGAAGCGGCAGGTGGAGGAAAAAACGGCCATGGTGAAGATTGAAGACGAGTCCTCTCTCGCAATCTGTTTCCAGGTGGTCTTCCCGTATCTTTTGGCTGGGCTGGGCATGGTGATGGCAGGCATGGTTCTGGACAGTGTACAGGTGAGTGTCTACTGTAGGTGGAGTTTTGTAAATCAGTATCTTCTTCTTCTTCTTAGTCAGAGTCTTCCCTCTCAGGGAATATTGCAGTTTCTGCTTTCGTAGTGTATAGTTATGCTGGTATTTTGGGGGGAAAAAAAGCTTTTGATGTCCCACTTTAGGCAAATGCAAATATCACAGTGAAAGAGAGACAGGATGAAAGATCAGGTCATCATGTCCTGGTTATTGTGATAAATGACCCTGACAAGATGTCACCACTAGGGAGCACACATCCCTTGCAAAGTTCAAGTTACAGACATTTACTGTACAATGCTGTGGTTTCAGAGTATAATTGCATTTAAAATGGTAACAGAAAAAAAATAATAAAACTCCTACGAAAGATATATTGTCAATTGGATTGACTATGCTAGATTTCCCATTGAGGTGCAGGTGTGGGCTCACCTTTCTTATTAATCTGCCTTGATTGGAGTATGCTGCCAACCTCAGCATAGTTGGTATAAAGTTCAGGTGAAGAAGGAGTCTGTGTTGTACTTCGATAACCCTGTGTGTAATCAATCATTGAAGGCATTTTGCATCACCCCCTTTTGGGTGCCTCTGGATTCAGTCCTTATTTGGGCATTTTAATTAAAGGCATCAGTTTACTAGATATACAAAATTTCAACACTCTACAGTACTTGGCATTCGCTATATTTACTGCAGAAATTGTTACCTGACTACAAAGTGATCCTTCCTGTTTTTAAACAACCTTCTGAAATGCCCCATGTAATCATACCCTAAATCTAAAAAGCAGAAACAGATGCTGTTAAAAAAACAGGTCATCAGCTTCTTTAAAATTGTCAAAAAAATCAATTAACCAGATAATAATCAGAATATGCAGACAGAAGTCCTGCAGTTATAACTTTCTAAATATTTTGTGACTGTGTATCCAGCCTTCCCCCAAACCTTGTATTCATCCTGTATCTTTTACAAGAACATACGGGTAATTTATGTTTATCTAGGCCAGATGTCCTTGGTAAACCTCCAACATATTCCACTCGGGCACACACACTTTGTAGTTTTATAATGGGCCTCAAATAGCTCACATAGGATTACAGGGAAAGTAAAATGACCTTGAATCTGAGGAGTGTGACTACTGCTGTATATCCATCTTCTTCCAAGTGTAGCGCAGTGTATTTAGGAATGCATTGAGGAGTTTTGGAGGAGTTTGGATGGTATAAACTGAGCCAAGAGTGATTCAGCCTTCAGATCAGTCCTACAAACATTTTTTTTAAATTATCATTTGGTATCTTACATGAAATGTGTTGTCCGCTCATACTTGATTGCTCAACACCTGTTAAAGATGTTTTCCCTTTTGTGGTGGGTTACGGATCAGCTGGAGAATTCTAGAGGGGTATTCAAGAAAGCTGGTGTACTGTGATTAAGAGCTGGTACGGATTTAAAACTTGCAACAAAAAAGTTTAAAAGAAGTATGTATTCCAAAGTAACTGTTGCTGCATTAAAGGTTGTAATCATTTCTCCACTATGTTATTTCACGTATGCTCTTGATAAGAAAGCAACAGTAATAATAAACGCACTTCCTGTTGATATTTTTACATTTCATTTAATTTAATTGAAAATGCAATTTTTCTTTTTATAAAACCTTCCCAGAAAACTCCCAGAAGAGAGTAACTTTTTTTAAGTTACTCTCTTCTGCTTCTTTCTTCAGTTATTGCATTGAATTGTACATAATATCAAGACTATCCTAAAAATAGATTTAATTAATTACTTTGGATGGCTACCAGTTGGCCTCGGAGACGAGTCTGTGTTCTTCCAGCCCTTTGAAATTAATGCTAATAGGTGTGCAAATCCCATTGAAAGACAAAATGAAAAATGGTAATTCTAATGGTGCCTACGATGGGTGATTTACAAATTCTAGGAATATAAAGTCATGAACATGAAATGACACAACAGAAAGATTTTCACATATGACATCTAAAAAATAGGATGATATTAATGCCTCAGATTAAGTTGCCAGTAAACAAAATATGTAAAAAGTTAGAAAATAACTATTGAATAATCATAGTATTTTCTCCATACTGATACTGTCAGTTTCAAATGGCTACCTAATGGTAAAATAGTAATATATGAATGTCAATTTATGCAACATTGACATGCAGATATTATCTTATACAGTATGTCTAAATTTTTATTAAGGGTTTGCAAATATGAAAAAATTACCTTCCTGAACAAAATGTTGCAATCAAGATTATTGCATTAATTGTGGCTTGCAGTGTCAGTGAATAAGCACACATGTAGAAGTGCCAAAATGGCACATAATGAGACAATACAAAGCAGAGCAGAAATTACACTCAGTGTTCTACTGAAAGATGTGAATGTATAATTTCATGAACAGTAATTTAAACAAATATTTATTGAGCACACATGTGTCCAAGTCAGGCCTTGTTTGAGTGTTTGTGTGGTGGTGTTCAAGTCAACAAACGTTTTTTACCTTGATGATAAGAACAGGGTTTTTTTCTCTAAGGTAGTGTGTACTTAAAGATATTCTGTAAAAATTATATTTATTAAATATTTATTTTCTCGTCATTATTATTCCTAGTTGTAAAAGTATACTAGCAGCAACAGTGGTTGATAATAATAAAGTTGGGATAGATTCTTCAATTATGAATTAATGATTGTGCCCTAGATGTTTTGTCTGCTTTTGTCTGCAAATCTTTTTCCCTGTTATCACTGCCATTTCTGGGCATGTACAGGAAACCAGTTTTTCCCTTAAAACTAGCTGTTGGCTGCCTGGCTTAAGTAAACTGAAGTTGCTAGCTACAATATAAAAGGATATTTGTCAAAAGGTGTTCCAATCCATTAATATTTGATAATAGCATGTGTTGAATATTTTACTTTAGAAGTAGAGAGGTTTTCTGAGGCATCCATAACAGGAAAACATATTGAGTACTGTACGTTTTATATAGTTTTATGGCAGGCTTTCATAAGTATAGACTCTCACATAAAGTATGTTGTACTAATAAAGAATACAAGAAATATGTTTGACTATACACAGACTCAAAAAATTAAAATCTGCAGATTTACACAGGTAACAGACTTCAAATGTTCATCGCCTGGTATTGGTTTAAATTAAAGGCTGCAGCTCACTTAGCCTAAAATGCCTCTAACTGTATTTAAAGAGTCTTACTTGTTTTGCTTTATGTATTAGTTTTTTTCAGGTCTAGTTCTCAGGTCTGGTCAATAGAACATGAAAAAAGACGTTGAAGCTGAAACTGCTTACATCTCTCTCTGTACTTTATTCTTTTATATACCGCTGGAAAGCAAATATTTGCACACAGAAAATCAATGAATAACCTTTTACATGTCACTGTTAGACTAATGGATTCTGAGTGTGCATGACTTAAAGGCCTAGACTTGCCTCGTATGCAGGAGGGAGTGTCTGTAATTCTCGAGCTCTTCTTCTTTTGAAACAGGTGGCTTCTGGGCTGCTCAGATTGCCATCACGAACACCACACTGCAGCAGCAGCAGCAGCAGTGACTAATCAGGACTACTTTAGAATCTGTCATGGGTGTGCTTAGTCACCTAATCAGCAGAGGTTCTCGGAAACCTGCTTAATCTTGAAAAGGGAGGACAAGCGATAAGCGTATTTGTTTTAGATAACGCGGTGGCCTGTGTCACAGAATTCTTCTTAACGGGGTCTGAGAAGGAGAAAGAGCAGAGGAACATGACAGGGCATACCACAGTGATGTCATGCGCTCAAAAAAGGAAAAAAAGCCGGGGCTTATTTCTAAAGAGCTGGCATGTGTTCCTGACAGGTACGTGTCTGACTGCGGGAGCACAGAGCACAGCGATTCTCTAGTGTTTCTTCTCTCAAACCACAGCCGCTCCCCTGAGAAGATGCTCTTGCTTGCGATGTGCTGACCTTGCATAGAGGAGACTCTAAGCTTATTCATGAGAAGGTAGAAACTCAGAAACTGTGATGTTGCTCGACGTGCATTCCAGAGAAACCTTTCTGAGATTTCACTGACAAAACAATTTGGAAGCAGACTGACGTTTATTAAGGATCAGTAACAACTGGTATGCAAGTTCTTTAGAAGTGTCACTTCATGAAAGATGAGCTAATGCTAACTGCAAGAAAAAGAGGAATGTTCTTGATGCTGCTTTATGTGAAAAGAACTGGGAAAGCTCTGCAATTCTAAAAGAAATTCCTTGACAGTTTACGGATCTCAGGCGAATTGTCTTATATTCTGACTGCTGTGCATGAAGAGACAATGGACACTAGGATTTGTATTTGATTAGAGAAACTAAAGGGATCAACAGGTGCAGGACAAGGGTTCACTCTTTCCTTAAGAGAATGGGCTAACTTGCCACCAAGGATCATGGTGGTCACACAATTGGAACTGGAGCTCTGTTATGAGGGGAAGAAGCTGCGTGGGTTTACCTGCAAGCTCACCAAATCTGCCAATGGCTTCCTCCCTGAGGGCTCATGGAGTATTGCATCCCAAGTTCTTGTGCCATACCTAGTAGCAGGCCTAGGGATGGTTGCAGCAGGCTTAGTGATGGACATTGTGCAAGTAGGTACTTTCCCGTTTTCTGTTAAGAGTATGTTGTGAAACCCCATAGAAAACCTAACCAGTTTGCTTTTATCGAAATGTTGTTCCATAGTGGACAGGAAAGATTGTGTAAAGATAGTCCTAACTGTTACAGCACTACAGTATATGCAGATGTCACTATTCTGATAAAAAATAAGATCATATTTTATTGATAAAATGGGATATAGTTGGAGTTACACCTGAGGCTTTTCCAATTTTGCAAAAGGTAACATTATGAAAATGCTTTCTAGCTTAAAATGTATTTGAAATGTCACCTTCATAGCTACAGGCTTAAAGTTTTCCCTCTTGTTGCATCTGCGAGAATTGATTGGAAATGCGACATGAAAATGACCCATCGTGCTTCCTGTTGTAGTTTAATATGATTGCATTGAGTCTGACCTGTCCACAGAAGCTATTTGAACACACTTAATATACTTCCTCTCAACAAGCACAGTTTATCATTCCTTAGTCTTTTGATCTTTTAAGTGATCTTGCACTGTAATACAAAAATATACCTTTAAAAGTTTCATTGATGATGGAATGATGGCATTAACAATATTGTACTTACCTCTTGACTATAAAAGTTACAACATTTTGAAAAATGTTCTTCCCAGGATGTTATTAGGAACATAATACAAAAATAGGAGGCCATTTGATCTGTCTAGTATTTTTGGTTAATAGTAGCTTATTGATCTCGTCAAGCAATTTCTTGAAAGTTTCCAGGCAAGTGGGTTCAGCAATATTTTAACAACATGAAGCTTGTTCCATACTTTCACAAGCCTCAAAAGTACCTCCTGTTCTCAGTTTTTAGTGCCTCTCCCCTCAGATTCTGCTTGTCTCTGTCCATCTGTTGTCATCTTTGTCACTATTGTTTGGGATTTTTGAAATCATATTCCCTCATAGTTTTTGCTGTGCTTTTAATGTCCAAGTGTGGAATATTCTTCAAAACCTGGAATGTTTCTCCTCTCATATTGTTGTTTATATTTACTTTAATTGGTCACTTTAGATGGTGTGTTGTCTATGTTTTTTTAAAGATACAACCACAATAGTGCACAGTGTTTCAGATAGGGTCTCACTGCACATTTTTAACATCCTTTCTTGACATAAATAGGTAGATTCCTTTAATATAAAAACAACTTAGCAGGGCATGCAAAGCATACTCATGGGTATAATATTTGATCATAAAAAACGATCTAAGCTCAGATTGACTTTAGATGAATCAATAGGTTGATTACAGTAGGTTTACGAATAAAACACTATGAGGAAAACGTGTTTGTTGTAACACATGCTGCAATCCTTCTGACACCATTATGCGTGCTCACTGTGCTGCGGTCATCTCTTGAAAAAAGTAATGCATCTTTTGGAAGGGATGAGAAAGCTTTCTGCGGTAAATGTCTTGGAGACTGACTACAATAAAAATTGACTGAGAGAAGACAAAGTCAAATGAAAGCTTGGAGGACAGTGAATGATACAGCCAGGGGAACTGTGGTACTGGGCTCGAACCCAGAAAGGCCATGATATAGCAGTCTCTAATCAGAAGGGCAGAGGAATGACAGCCAGGACATGCCAGCTTTTAAAAATAGCTCCCTATATTTAAAGACTTTTTATATGTATTATTGTTTTGTGACTGTTAAGATCAGCCATGGCAAGTTATATGTATGTCTGTATAATCTTGTATTCATTAACTGAGTGTCATCAAAGTTGTTGTAATACACATAAACGGATAATATATAGTATATAAACAACATTAAAACAGAGACCATCGAGCATGTTTTGCTTGTTTGGTTGCTAATTGAGATCAGAGAATGTCATCCGGACATTTCTAGAAGAATTCAGATGAGTCATTTCCTACAATGTGCCTAAGATTTTGACAAAAGAGCAAAGGTTTTTTTTCTTCTGTCCATTTTCTATGCCTAAGATTTCTATGACAGGATCAGGAGCATTTTTGTGTTGTGCTAAGTTATGTTACTTTTTTTCAAGGCACGGTGTACAGTAATGTATGCGTTTTTTACTGATTGTATTAAATATGTAAGAAAACTCTTGAAAAGGCTATTATAAATTGGGCAACTCTCCCATCACTAATACTTGATCGTGGCCTAGTGAAATTAGTTCTCACTAGTCCCAGGAAATGCTTGTACCTTAAATATGATACCTGATTGTAGAGCTGGGCGATAATTCGATAACGATAATTATCGCGATATAATTATCCTCGATATAATTTAAACAAAAGTTCAATATATATGTTTATGCTTTGCGCATGATATGCGCATGCGCACAAAATACTGTGCGAGGGTGGGTGCGTGGTACAGACCAGGCAGCTAACAGATTTGTTTAATGTTTCTGCTGTTTGGAAGTTATTTGTTGTGTTTTTAAAATAAAGAGTTATTTAATTTACCAAATAACTGTCTGGTTTCTTCAACTTTCATTCAGGAGAAAAAATCTGCCTTTAAACTTGAAAGAAATAATGATTTGACATTTATCGCGATGATTATCGATGTCGACTGATATGAAAATTTTTATTGTGATAATGTTTTTGGCCATATCACCCAGCCCTACCTGATTGTGCTGTTGTGGGTAATTCATCAACGTGTTTTATTCTCTGTAGAACCTAATTAAGGCCAATTCCTCCAATGAGCTCAGGTAGTATGTACTGTATAGACTGCCATGATTGAAGCTTAGCAAATTTTGAATTTTAAAGGAATTTCATCCCTTGTACTTTAGTGAATAGTTACAAACTTAACGTTCCACTAGTTCAGACTGTAACTACAGCTGATTTAGATTTGTAAAGTACAGAATTGAGCTCAAATTAAATCAAAACTATGACTCCCAGATTTTGCATGTTTCAAATTCCACAAGATCACTTGATGGGAGTTTTGTGTGTGCACTAAAGACTTATGCATGTACCAAAGTACTAATTTGGGGATTTGCCGTTCCTGGCTGAGTCAGCACTTGGATTTAATTTAGGTCTAACTTTTACGTTGTGGGTGTTTTGTGGTTAAGCTACATTGCTCTGGAACACTGGGCCCGAGCCTGGTCAACTGTTTATATGTATTGAACCTTTTGCTGTATTTTTTACACATAGATTTTAAATGAGAGGATGCTCACTTAGCAAGAATTTTTTTTATGAGCTCAGCTAGCCAATTCTTGAAATAAACTAGTATATTAGTGAATGTTATGCTATGATACATTAAGATAATTACCATGTCTTCAGTAAAGGCACTTTGAAGATGTGAAGAATTGTTTTGATAATTTGGTGAATCTCTATGTTATGGTTAACAATATAATTACATGCAGTACTGTATGTGCAACATTACAAGATCAGCTGGAATTGATCTTGAGTTTCTATGTGCTAACTTACATGTTGCAGTTTGCTCAAACTAATTCTGAATTGAATTATGGCAAACAGTTATTGGCATTGGTTTGAGTGATGTGCACTGTTTGTGAATGCATTTGAGTTAGTCAAAGGGTTTAGAATACTGATAGCAGTGAAGCATGTGAGATGAAAGATAAAACTGCAGGATTGAATATTCAGTGAGTTGTAGAAACTGGGTAGAATAAAGACCTGAAGGCATTTTATTTCCACTAACTCTTGCCTTCAGTAATAATCTTCACTTTCTATGAGTCGACTTGGACTTACAGTTCTAATATTCTGTAAACTCTTTTTTATCCCTTATTCTTTTGAATTTACAGCCTTGTTAAAAATGAGGCCCCTTTGGTGTATTCAGATGCCTCAGCACTGCGATGATATTATTTTTCGAGCACAGATGCATGTTAATTGAAAGTGGAGCTCTTCAGCACTATTCTAGCATCTGTCCTCGAGCCATATTTGGATTTTGAAAAACTGCAATTTGTGCAGTATTAAAACAACATTGATTGCAGTGTAATTTTCAACAGTCAAAGGTAGACAGAAAATGCAGGCAATAAAGGTCTATACAGCTTTCTGCTGACATGTAAAATCAGCTTAGATGATGAATTGTTTCATACAATGGACGCAAGACTGATGGTTGTATTCTTCAGGACAGCTGTTCTCCTGATAGGATGTAGAATTTACATGCAATACTTTTCAAGTGCAAGTGTGTGCATAATGCATTAAAATAGGCCCATGCTATATATTATTATGTTTATATGCAGAGCTCTACCATACGTTATGTGACAATTGTGAAATGGTTATTTTAACCACCTTTAATTTATTTTGCTTTCTTTTACAGCACTGGGAAGTGTTCAAAAAGATTACAGAAGTATTCATTTTAGTGCCAGCCTTGGTAGGACTCAAAGGAAACCTTGAAATGACCCTTGCATCCCGTTTGTCTACAGCTGTAAGTACAGTACAAACAGCATTGAAAACTATAAAATCTTCAGTGCCAAGCTCTTTTTTATATTTGTGGCTTGAATGAAATCTAGATATGGAGATATGTCTGTTTTGAGAACTGTATATTAAAGATGGCATTGGTTCTGAGGAAATGTTAGCAGTTTTCAGTGTCCTGTTATCTTTTAGCACAGGCCAGAGTAGAAGCTCCACCATTGGTGTGTCTCTCAATTTTACTACATAACCTTTTCAGGCAGAGATACAGTTAGGTCCTTCAACCTTTTACCTCAGCACACAGCATTTTACAAAATAATACTGTATATTGTTTATATACTATATACTACTATACAGTATATATATGCTAATATACTGTACCATATGTATATATAGTAGGATACTGTATGTGATAAAACCCCTAAACAATTAATAATTTGGAACTAATCAAAATCTTTGAACAATTCTTTAAAATAATCCAGTACTCAAGGTGAAGTTCTCATTGATTTAATACAAGGAGAGTCATTTGTCAGAAGTATTTGTTAATGTGGCATTTTTAAGAGGCACTTCCACCCATCTTTGGAAATCAAAGGAGGTTATAGAATTAATTTTCTTGCAAGGCAAAGTAATTTGAAAAGGAAAGAAGTAGATTTCCCAGAAAAATAATGGAAGGCTCTAATGGTATTTTTGTTAACACAATGACTGAGCTGTAGAGTACAGAGACCTGCTATATACAGTAAGAGCACAGTTAGTAACAGCTTTGAATATTTTCGGTATATTGTTTATACATATTCATTATTAAACAATGGCAAAATACAGTATACAAAATACGGGTCTTTTCATGGATATTTCTTTAGTAATAATAGAAATGTAATTATTATTATACACTGTTTTCCACTAGGATATTTTGTGTTTCTTTATATTGGATTAGACTAAGATTATGGACACAGAATTCCAGCTAGGAAAGAAGTGGATATCATATGGTAGTGAAGAGTAAGCAGAGAACAAGACAGTTTTGTACAAATCAGCATGTTTTGACATACTGTACCAGCTTGAACTTCAGTTGACGGTGCCTGTGTCTTTGTTCACCAGGCTAATACTGGACAGATGGATGATACCCGCCAGCAGTGGAGAATGGTGACTTGTAACCTGGCTTTGATTCAGGTAACCATACAGATCATATAAAACAGTCTCTCCATTTCTTCAGTATCTCCCGCCCAGTATCCCAAATCCGCTTAACTGCTTATTCCAGAGAAAAGGTGACTTTGCAAGGGAAGCTACAGAGATTTCATGTTAGTCAAGTTTGCTTGGGAAATGTAGAATTCCCACCAGATTTGGTAGGAAACAGAGAGACTTACTGAATGGTGTGATAGTCGTGTTGCTCTGAGCAATTTTGGAGAAGAATCTTTCATTAACTATTCACAGTCTGTAGTAATCTGACTGTTGTTCCAATTTAAATAACAGTAATAGTAATTTAGCAGATGCTTCCATTAATTAACAATTTTAGCAAAGGGTTAAACTGTCAACTACTGCTGGTGGTGAGGTGCAGTAAAAGCTCAGTATTACAGTACATCTCACTGAAAGAGCAAGCCACAAGAGGGGAAGGAACTTCCTCAAGGGTTTCTGACAATCTGGAACACGAGCTTGAAGCCAACTAGTATTAAACCCTATCATTAAAATGTATTTTAATTCAAAAAATGGTCCTCCTCTTATCTATAGTGGATGTCCCTGCAGTCGTTAATTGAACACACTGTAACTGTTACTCCTATGGAGAGTGACCACATGGCTTAGAATGCATCTTTTCACTCTCTTGTGGTGCTTCTCATTGAAGTCTCAGTGTTGTAAGTAAATAGTTGAATTTGTGTCATGATTCCTCCATAAGATTGTAAGAACGAGTCCTGAAACATACACACAAGAATGAAAATAAGAGGCTAAGCAGAAAATACTGTATGCTACTTCAAGAAGCTGCCCAAGTACAGCTGGTTCAGTGGCATCATTCAAGAAGAAGCTTGATAAGGTCCTTTGATTAATTAATCTTACTTTAACATGGTAAGGCTCTTGTACAAATATGGCGTGATGAAGCAGAATACACAGTAGGTTTGACAGTACTCCAGTTATTGCTTGTGTACAGATTTACTCAGTGTAAGAACAGTTGAAATGTCCATCAGCTGGTTTTGATTTATACAGTACTTGTTATAAAAGGTGTTATGGTGAGCCAAAAGGCCTCATCTATGTGATGTTTGCTACAGCTGTGGAAATGAAGGCTTCAGATTTGGTCTCTTGTTTTCGCTCTCTTCACAGGTCCAGGCCACTGTGGTGGGGCTCCTGGCAGCTGTGGCAGCTGTGATCCTGGGGTCAATATCCAAAGGACACATTGAACTGGACAAGGCTGCAGTGCTCTGCGCCAGCAGTGTCACTACTGCTTTTATTGCTGCACTTTCCCTAGGTAAAATGATGACTACAAAATCAATATGTGGTGTGAATTCCATTATCCTTTGACACACGTTAATCAAGAATTCTTCACCCGGGATTTCAAGATTGGACATAATAAAATAGAAAACCATAGCCCAGCCTTCCTTCAGAAAGAAAATTTTGATCCATTTCAGCTTTTGTGAGATGAAGGCTCTCAAATGTGGCGTGATGAAGCAGAATGTGTGGCAATTTTGACAGTACGCTGGTTTTGAGCAGATTTGCTCGGTATAAGAACAGAGTTGAAAAATCCATCAGCTGGTTTTGGTTTATAGCTGAATCAGTCTGTGGGAATCGTATGGGTTTCCCTGCTGCATTATGTCCTACCATGAAAATGTTTGATGTCCTTCTCCATATGTTTGTGTTATTGATCAAATAGGTAGCATGAAAATGTTTTAAATCTTGATGCCTGGTAGTGTTCTAGTTTACTTGTGCATGTGTGTTTCGGAATTCAGGAACATCTGGAATGGCATTTGTCGACCACAGCAGAGTTGATGGAAAGTGTTTTACTGTGGTTTTGAAGTAGGAATGTGCTTGATTGTAGTTCTTTAGACAGATGCATTATGTGTATTTGTACATGCTTTCATATAGCCTTAGACTTAAATCCCTTCCCCCTCTCCTCCCGCAGCATAGCATTCTCAAGCCTCTTGCATGGCGTGGACAGTTGACACTTAATGTCTCAATTATGTTCTCAGGTCTGGTCATGATCGGCGTAATTATTGGGTCAAGAAAAGTTGGAATAAACCCTGACAATGTGGCTACTCCAATTGCAGCCAGCCTGGGAGACCTGATAACCCTCTCACTTCTGGCAGGGGTTAGCAGCATACTCTACCAATACAGAGGTATTGTTCAAATACATTAAAGTGAAACATGGGAAACTCTCCTTTTAGTAGCGCTGCATCAGTCACTATTTCCTCCTTCATGTCTTCTTATGCTGTATTTATTTATGACCCCGAAGTATTCACAACAAGCTCTTTCAAAATTTACAAGACTCAAGACCGTTTATCTGTAAGGCTACCATAACTGCAGTTATTCGATTTAGAGTCATTCATTCCCTGAATGTTTCTCGTGAACTATGGTTCTCTCTTTAATTGCATTTCAGTTCACATGTAAACCCCTGCAGAGCTGTAATCAGACTAAAGTATTAATTCCAAAACCAGTTCCCGAAATCCTAGGCGGAAAACGGTGACTTGAACAGAAATAATAAAACAACAATTCAGCTTGGGTATTAATTAACAGATACCTGACCTTATTTGGAGCCACACTATTCTGCTAACATGCTTCGTGTGCAGTAAAGGTTCCTGATCCAATCAGGGCTTTTCACTGGAGGGATGGGGCAGATTTCCACACCTCCTTACAGAGGCAGCTGTGGCTGTCTGCACTTAGCTGGATTCTGTCTCCGTCACATACCATTCCTGGAATCCAGTTGGACAGCATGTTCTGTGTTTCCCAAAAATAAGTTAAGAGCAATCGATACATTAAAATGTAACATAATATTTTTTGGCGTAACTTTCCTCTTAATACCTACTTGAGTCCTGATACCTATTATTAATCATGGTTAAAGGCAAATTTGTGCCATCACACTGGCAATAATTAAAAAGTTCACCCATGGCTGAAGACAATCATGCCATTACATACTGTATCATGCCCTAGTCATTTTTGAAGAATTAACTTACACCGATGAAAGTGACTGAAGACTGATAAGCTTTAAATGCACTTTATGTCTGTTGGAGAATTTGAAAAACAATATTTAATGATATATAGATTTTAAAATTGATGCTCTGACATTTTCTACTGCCAGATGTTAGTTGCACTGAACTTTTATGGAATGTATTTGACATGAGAGTAGGGATAAAAAAAGACATCCAGCACTGGAAGATGATAGAACTGAATTTATAAGATAGGTTCCAATACAATACTTCACTCCTACAGTTGTGTGATAGATTGGCCAGAGTTCAAGTTGTGGAGGTTACTAATGAAGAAGGAAACTTTGAAAAAGTTTGCAATAAATCACCAACACAGCAAACTAAAAACTAAAACTCTAGGTAATTGTAAATCTTTAAAAATATTTAACATTTATGAAGTTTGAAATTAAAAAGTTGAGCAAATGTATATTATGCTGCTTTTTCTAATGCAGTATTATTGTGTATTTATTACCTTTTGCTTTAAAAAGAACTTTGTCATCCTGCTGATTGCACTATTTTGCCAGCAGATGTCAGCAAAGGGCAATAATAAATTGTGTTGAGTGTATGACAAATTTACATCACCCCGATGTTTGTTTAGCTTCTAGACTAATAATTCTATTAAGAAACTGCCTCTTAAAATTCCCATCTTATTAAAAATATGCAGTGTAACAAATAAAGCATAAATGTTTTAAATACACTTCTAACACACTTGTTCTACAGCTGTGGTTATAAAACACAAGAAAGGTTACAAATTCAGCTAATTGATACAAGAATCTCATTCCAGTTGTTTCTTGAAAGACACCTGGGTATGAGCTTTAACAGCATGGCTGAGTATATTGTTCCGTACTCCCACAGTTAATCAATTAATCTTTAATTAATCCTTAGGCAAAGATCAGGGGACTGTAACTGATATTTACAGACAGGTGAAGTAGGTGGTTTAGATTCAGATTCTATCTAGGGCTGACTTTTTCAGAAACTGTTTTGTTTGTTTGAACAGAAAATTAAAAAAAAGTTACAAAAATCACATGGAATGGATATCAGGGATTTAACAGTGAACATTTCAAGACGTCATCTCTTGTACAGGCTAGCTAACCATCATTCTTTAAATATTCTCTGACATTTTACAGACATAATATTTACTCAGCCATCATTTGTATTTCCCAGATGTATAGCCTCATTAACAGTGGAAGGAAGGAATTAGGATTCAATTAAACTTAACAGATGAGCACAGTTAATTCTGTTAGATTATTCTCCTTAATCTGCCCTGTGATATAAACAACTGGGGCCATACTGTATGAATAGACTTCATTCTTAAATCCTTTAGCACAACAATAATGTTTTATTTTATCTAATTTTCCTATTTATAAATGTTAGAAAAAGCACAGGGAATATTGTACATGGTTTTAACATGGTAGTTCTTGATAAAAAGCAACTGTAAAAACCTGGTTACATATGTAAATGACGTTACAGTGGGAAGTATCATTGTGCTCCCAAAAAGCAACCTGCGTTTAAACGTTCCTTTTCTGCAGATCAGTGGTACCTGTCTCTACTCGTGTGTGCCCTCTTCATTGCCTTGATACCACTGTGGGTGATTGTAGCCCGTCGTAGCCCACAGATCAAGGAGGTCCTGATATCGGGCTGGCAGCCAGTCATCATTGCCATGTCTATCAGCAGGTACAATACCCATTCCAGTGTACTGAACTGAATAGTGTAGAAGAGTTTCATAGGTCTTTGAAAGCCAGAATTCCCCAATTATTGAAGGTCCACAAGTTCAACAGGTTTTTTGAATCATGTGTTTTAGACCTGGGCTATAAAATCAAATTGGGTTAAAAAATGGATAATTCAAATCTGTGGTGAGAATGTCAGGTAAAGGTTTTGACAACCTTGAGGATTGTAGGTGAGATACTCCAATACTGTATAAATCCTACTAGTAAAATAAATTATACTTCAGCAATAAGTATAATCATGTGGACCTCAAAAATACATTTTTGATAGTCCAGCAGCACAGTATGTGCTACTATTTTATGTTGATAAGGATCAAGGTTCAAATTTTATTTTCCTCAGGATTTTCTGCATTTGTAAAGTTGGCCTGTTAAGTAATAAAGCCTTTTGCTTGCAGTATTGGTGGCCTGATTTTGGACAAGACAGTAACCGACCCAAATTTTGAAGGCATGGCTGTTTTTACTCCGGTAATCAATGGTAAGTGACACTGTATAAGCTTGAAACATTTATATTAATTTACATTGTGAAATGATCCCAGGGTAAATTGGTTTTGTTATCCCTTCAATATAAGATGCATTCCGTTACTGAATCTTATCATATCGATTAAAAGATCAGAGCAGCATTTTATTAACAAACAATATGGTACAAAACTTTTGGAAGAAAGACATTGGACTCATTAAAGTTAATGCATTTCCGTGATAAAGTATGCTGTCTGGTTTGTATTTCCTCTTTATTTATTTGTGTCATTCCATGGCTTGTTTGTGTATGTTTCCCTGCTGCCTCTCTCCTTTCTGATTTTGATGTACACCCCAGAGCGAAAGATATTCTGGCGTAGGTATCAAAGTGGATGCTTCAGGCTCTGGAAGCCTGGATATTAAATACATGCCACTGCATTTATGAGTTGAAAGAGAAAGAGAATTTAAGCTGTTATGTTAGACCTGGGTTTATTTTTTTTAATACAGTTTTTATCACTTCACCACACCTGTGAGTTTCATACCATTCCAATATATAAACCTCAAGAGATGCGGATGAAGCAAGTCTGACCTGAATTGCTGTTATTAGAGAAAGCTCATGTTCAAAACCCTGAGATAATTAAAAGACATAACCCTTACCACTGAAACACCTGCCAATAGTTTGTGCAGCTGATTGAAAGGAGAGTGCATCTTACCAAAAAACATTTTTACTTCCCTTCAAACCTTAATAACAGTTGTGAAAAATCAAAACACAAATGGCTTGAGGGACACAGTAAAACAACTATTATAAGATCATGGTGTGGTCTCTCTTACAAAGGCTGATTCATCCAGGCTTTCAACAAAGAACAGATGTATATTTTAAAGTACTTTGGAGGGATCATGTAACCCAGTGGCAGAAACAGCATTTTTGGGGTTATCATCATAATACTCAACATTAAAACTAAGTAAGCAGGCACAGGAAGAAATAGAGATGTCGAGTGACATTACATCTTTCCTTCACCTGCGAATGTTGAGGCCTGGAACTTTGTTTTGGGTAGTGGGCTTTTTCATCCATCCAGCTACAATGTTTATGAACATCCTTGAGGAGCTCTTTTGAGTTTAAACAAGATCCTTGGTCTGTGGGTACATATTACAGGGTGTAAGGAAAGAGGAGAAAAATGCGGGCCATCTGTGCTTCCCTTTTTACGTCAGCCTGTTCTTACATCACGTTAGAGAGTAAGGCTCTTGAGATTCCATAACTAGGAGGTTCCCGGTTCAAGTCCAGCTTTACCACTAAGTACATATTTAATTGCGTAATGTGCTCAACATTTTCTTTTTACATATACTGTAAAACAGTTCCTTTTGTGTGTGAATTTAATTTAATTATTGAGTAGCACAAGGACACAGCCTTTCATTTTTACATATCACTTTAAATAAAATCCTGAGCACTGTATATCCTTTTTGGATAAAATTATACCACTTCTAGTATTTGGAATTCACTAGGAGCAAACCTGCTAAAATGACTCCTTGCTATTAATTGCACTTGGTCCTATGTATTTTGACCGTGCTCTCCCCCTTCTTTCAGGTGTAGGTGGCAACCTGGTAGCTATCCAGGCCAGTCGGATCTCTACTTATCTCCACTTCTGGAGCATGCCAGGGGTGCTGCCCTACAAGATGAGGCAGCACTGGCCCAACCCCTGCATTACCTTCTTCTATTCAGGTCGGTGAAAGAGAGGAAGAAACATCTGAATCTTTTATTTGCAAAATGATTTTTCCAACTTTTTCTCAGCTCACTGCTCACGTACTGTACCTGTGTAGCTGCCCGCTCACCTGTCCAGATTTTATTCCAGCCAGCAATTGTGGTGGTGTGTGTCCATTTTGATCGTGCAGGGCAGAGCAGGGTCACAATCGTGTTTTCTTCCATTGCAGGGGTGAATTCGAAGTCAGCCCGTGTGCTGTTTCTGTTGGTGATTCCTGGACACCTAGTGTTCCTGTACACAATCAGCCTGTTGCAAGGAGGACACACGGCTATCTCACTCACCTTCATTGGCTTCTACCTAACTGCTGCTCTTCTGCAGGTACACTGAAGATATTTTAGATCTCTCTTTGATTCTCGGTGTTTGCTGCTTGGTGATTTAAATATATTAGCTTAAGAGCTCTGCAAGTTTCACTTCTAGCAAAGTTTTAAAAGTTTTTTTCCCTTATATTTTTCTCCTTTATCATCAGTACCTTTTACAGGCCTACATTATGTATGCACTTGGTTACACAGTCTGATTATTCAGCTAACAGCCAAAGACTTAAGCTCATAAATACTGTAGATAATTATTTTTCAATACCTATACAATCTGGTTGGCAAGATATTTCCAGATTAATATGGTGTATTTACAGTACATTGTGTTCTGGTGTTTTCACTTTGATATTGTTAATATTATTAATAGGTTAATAGTATAGTTCAGTTATAATTTGGAATGGAAACCCAAGTATAAGACGTGTGGTAGAAAATAATTCATAACAAAAAGCATATTTTCATCATACAGTATTACGTATTTTGCACATGGCCACACAATTTGGCATTTTCCAATGCTTGTGGTTTTAATTCATATTGGTTGATGTTAAAATAGGCAAGTGATTTTTAATTCTTTGGTAATTATTGAAAGTAAATACCCAGTATGTTAAGATAGGCAAGTGTTTTTTTTTATTCTTACTGTAGGTTGTTATTGTAAGTAAATTCATTCCCCAGCATCAGCTTTATTGAACTGTTATTTTCACTGTACTCAAGTTACATTTCATAAAATTGCCAGGTGCTTATTGTTTGGTATTTGAGTTTAAATTTAGTTGTGCAAGGATCTGTATACACTTTCAAAAAGATACAGTTTTAATTCATGTAAGAATAAAAAAAGTATGACCACAACATCTTTGTAATTGATATTGGCATTATCGAAAGCTGTGAGAGAAGGTGAATGGAAAATGAGATGTTCTGCTTTAACACAGCAGGCTAGTCCAGAAAAACTAAGAAACCAAATCTGTGTAGGACAGCCCACGCCAGCCCAGAACTGTCACATCCATCTGCTTCGTTTGCATAATTGTTTTCAGATTGCTGCAGCTACAGCATGAGAAATTCCAGTAAGAAATAACATGTGCATCATTAACTGAAAATGTACATGTACAGTACATGCTCGCAGGCTGTTCAGTCCACTTAGCGACAGCTACAATATGATATTCCCACCTTCAACTGGCCAGAGAACATCCACAGGTGTGGCAGAGAGAGTGGTGCAAGATCATATCCATAGATTAATGCCATTTTCTGCCCAGGCAGATCTGACAAAAGACAAAAAAGCTTTAATCTGTTGTGCTGGTCAAGATAACTAAAGAGCTAGCGGAAAGTGGATGATGTCTGGAGGACACTTCCTCTGTATAAGGGCAGATATTATTGGTCAAAGATATGTTGCCAAAGTCCTTGAGCCAAAAGTCTGTTCAATCTGGCAAGCCACTTTTCCAAAAGGACAATGCAAGACCATTGTTGTAGGATTACAGTGGAAAAACATCATAAAAAAAACAACATTGAGGTCTTGTCATGACCAGCTTTTTCTCCGGACTTAAATTTACTGTAATAGATTATGTGGTACCAAATTGCCATTGTTGTCGAAAATCAACAACTCTCACCAGCTGGGAAAAGCTGCACAGGAAATGTGTCAGAATTTTTCACAGCAGTCGGTCCAGGACTGATCAGGTTTATGCATCGGTGTTAGTGCTAAAAGAGGTCACACTTCCTTTGTGGTTTTGGCAGTGTGTCACGTTTTTTAGCTGGGAGCTTATCATGATTCTGTAATCTGCATTTTTGTTCACATTATCTATCATTTTGTTTGGTATCTACATTTTAAATGTTTGATTAAATCCACAAGGCCTACGTGGTTCACTTCATTTGTGCAACAGTATGTTTGTGGCTGTTTTTTGTGACTACAGATAGTAAAAATACCTTCATGTTTTATATTAGTCTTGTGAGTTCAGTGATGTAATGTATATGACTGTTTTATCTTGTTCATTTTAACTCTTAGTTCATTCACACCAAAGCTCATTTTTAGCCAAGAAAAAAACTATGATGTTTCTGTAAAGTGTAAAACAGGTCTTGCTCAAAGTTAAAAATGCAATATTAGATTTTTTTCTGAAATTATTTGATAGATTCAGTAGAAACTCTAGCAAATAACATAAGGCTATTAAGTCTGGTTGTTTCATATTAACCAGTGGTTTTTGGAATGAAAAAATAAAGGGTAATTTTTGGAAAGGCAAGAAAAAGTTTCCAGTGATGATTCCATTATAATCCAAAAGTCTTATTTTATCATAATTCCTGCATATTTTGCAGTTTTAATAACCAATACATTGTAATTCAGATTTCTGTTAGCATTACAAATGAAACATAAATTAAAACAATATGCTATAGAACTAAAGAGGCCATCTAGTGGCTTTTCTGGTTAAGTTAAATCGGATTGTTTTGTATTTCTTGGACTTTATGTGTGTTCAAGAAATTTAGATTGCTATGTTTCAATTCCAATAAAGTGCTTTACAATAAATATGGAATTAATATTACTTCACTTATTGAGGTGGCAGTGAATGTATTATTTAAAAAACCTAACAACCAGATGAGAAAATTGGAACAACTTATTTCATTATTTGCATTTTTTCAGGATTTTTATTTATTCTCATAGTTTACAAAACCCACAGTGGTACCAATAACTTTTTTAAGGCTTTTGTGTGTCTACCTACAGTAGACAGTATTACAGTATGCAGTTACAAAGTGGGTGCAATAAAATATACTGAAATCAGGCAGATTTCCAACAATAAGGCATTACATTCTCAAGTAAATTTCTGCATTCTCTCAACTTGCCTTGTAAGGATTTGTAACCCAAACATTGAATTATGTTTTAATTCAGGTGGGCATTCTGCTGTATGTAGCTGACATCATTGTGAGACTGATGTGGCGCAGAGGTCTGGACCCTGATAACTTCTCCATCCCGTACCTCACTGCGCTGGGAGACCTCCTGGGCACTGGCTTCTTGGCTCTTTGTTTCCGCATGATCATGCTTGTCGAAGGTGCCAGCCTGGAGACGGGCCACTAAGAATGCCTTTTCACACCGCATTCGATGATACTGGTATCCTTGAAAGCTAACACTGAAGCAACACATGCACGATGATGCTTGATCATCTCCGGGTATCAAGATGATTCCAGATACTACTTCCAGTGAACAGTTCTGAGGACATGGCGTGACTGCACGTCATGATTGCACGAGGCAGATCGGCGTACTATCACCTTGTCTTTTTGTCCCACTTCATCTACTGTTTGTTCTGGGATCAGGTTTTCTTTTCTGTTTTTGAGTACTTTGACAGGACAGATCATTTTGATGCAATTGCTACATAAAAAAAAATCTAAACTGAAACAAGACCACAAGAAAAGACCGACTGAAATTGAAAAACTTCAATCCTTTAGAATCCTTTCCTGTCATGTGCTTTGCTTTTTCACCCTTCCTCACAGTTATGGGCATATGAGCTTGGAACGCCTGTTACTGTCCTGTGATCTTAAAAGGACAATATTTTGAACTTTTAGACCCAGGGACTACAGACAAACCTCCTTTGCAATAATTTATTTTTGTTTGTTTTTTTGTTTTCTTTGAGCCATGTACTGTATGTTAGCTTTTACCTCTTGCATAGAAACTGACAAAGGAACCAATATGTTTATCTTTAACAGAGGTGGTTTACAGTTGGTGCTGTACAGCATGTCTATTTCAAGAGATGTTTTGTCAAAAGCTTTGCAGCATGTTTTCTTACACAAAGGTTTGGTTAATTTTTTTCACCACCTTTCACATTATATTCCCCAAGCCTGTCTAAATCCCAAACATATACTGCCAAAAAAGACTAATGTAGAGATAAAACTATTCTCTATCTAATATTTTTTCAATAGTCTAAATACAGCGTTTGAAGTTCTGTAGTTCAATAGATGTTGTTCCAGTACTTTGATATATTTACATTCAGGTCTACATACAGTAGTTACCATCTGTTCATAGTTATCCTGATAGAGGATCCTGATAGATGTGCAATGAGTTTATTATGTTTTAAATACCAGTAGAAGAGTATTACAAGTTAATAGCATTGTTTACGTAAAATAGGAAAATGTCTCTTTTACTTTAGGTTAAATCAGATTGAACCAGCAATTTGGTCAAATGAAGTGCCTGTTTATTTTAGTTTTTAGAACATTTGCCAAACCTTTTTGTTACTTATGTTATTTACACTAAACACTTTGCAAAAGGAAATACCTTTTAAGATCTGTGTTTGACACTGGGATTAAAAGTACACTCATAAAACAAAAGGTAAATGAAGAATGCCTGAGCTGTTCAATGTTGTTGTTTTGTTTCACATGAGCAGCTTCAGGAGTAATAATGTGGGCTGTTTCTTTAGTCTGGTTCAACTGTACATCTGTCAGTTACAGTATTTCTTATGTATCACTTTGGAGTTGCAAGACTCTGTTCAGCTAACAAAGATAAACGTTCTTGAGAATGTGTTGTCAGGTCAAATGCTTCTTTCCAATCTTAGGAACCACAATATGAATATTTAAACTATGGGTCCCATAAAAACATACATTTAAACAAGCATTTTACCTAAACAGCTGTAGGAACACCTGGGGATGTGTAACATTGCAAAGGGAACCACTGAACGCCCTAGACCCCAACTTGCCAGCACGTGGGCTGTTTGGAGAGCCTCCCTGGTCTGGCCTGGGCAAAAGTCCATAAACGACAGAGCCGATCAGAGACCACCACTCACACCACACTCCAGGCAGAGACCCTGATGCTGAGGAAGGGATGGAATTGAAAGATGAAGCAGGAAAGACCCTTGAGAAGGTAGGAAACTGCATGTACAGTAGTTTTTACAAGTCAGGCCAACGCACCAAGTGAAATGGGTCATATTTTTTCAACCATATAAAAATCATCAGTAACGCCTTTCTTTAACCGGCTTGTGTCTTATCTTTAATGATCCAGATTTTATGCAACAGTAATAAAGGTTATTTTACAAAGGGCAGATATAGCAAAATATTTATAGATATTTCTGGGTATAAATTTAAGACTTATATAGCACCTTACTACTAATTATTGTTGTACTGTATGTTGCAGTGTGGATGCTCGAACAGTAATTAAAAATAAGCTAATGCCTTCTTCTTTGATACTGATATCCAGCACCTGCTTTTCCTTCTTGATATCCAATTATTTTGGACATGTAGTGCTTGTTATACACATCTTTCTCTCTTCTACTGTCCTAGTACAGTATGTCTGCTCACCTCCAACCCCAATGAAAATTTAATTTATGTGCCATTTGAAGGAAGACCACTAACTATCCATGTCAATGTGCAATGGTGTCAGCACCTAATCATTTATTTTATTATCTTTATTGCTTTATGTTTCGATGTAAAACACTCCCGTGAGTGTACAGAAGCAGACCATGGGGGAAAGCAGTACCGTATTTACCCGAATATATGCTTAACTTTTTCTACAAATTTCAGGGTGGTACAATTGGCGTGTGGCTTATATTCAATTAAAGTAAACAAATTCTGAACTTGATCTGGTTGTTGACATTTTAACCACAGGAATGCTGAATGTGTTGTTGCGATAAAGAAATTGTATTTTCATTTTTAGTTATCCAAAATGAACAAGAAAATCACGGTATACTTTTGCATTCGTGAAGGAGGTGATCCTGTGTACTGAACAGCATGGGAATCATCAGGCTGAACGGCAGCTTGGAGTGGATTCACAGTCACACCAGATTTGATAGACGTTTAAAGCTCTCGAGTCAGCTACACAGCTAAACATGCCAGATTCTAGAATTTAAAGCGTCCCATGGCTGGATAATGCATTTCATAAGGAGGAATCGGTTTTATCACGGTGGTGGTGTTCTAATCGTTTTGCTTTAGTCTAGGTGACATTGCATATCAATTTAATCTCATATATCCGAAAATCCTCGTATGCGCAACCCAGTTTACTGTTTTACTGTATGGTTTACTTTTAAACTCCACTCTTCCTTAATTTATTTAAAACGAAGATAGCTTTTTGTCATTTCAACCATTTCTTTTCAGAAAGGTACTGTAACTTACAGTATGCTTTGTAAAGTTCTTTTTTACTTTTTTATTCAGGTGTGACTGATAATCGGTTAAATACGGGACCATACATTGTACCCTAGGACGCGGCTGTGTAGGCATTTAAACTCTGACATGTTGTGAGACTAGGAGCCCACTGCCATTTTGGGCCAGATAGATTATCCAAATGGAATTCCAGGACTGTATGCAGAGTTTTGATTTTTGAAAAGTCTGTTTAAAAGTTGTAAGAACTCTACAACAAGTATGCTTCTTTAGACAAAAGTATCACCCGTACGACAAATCATTTGCCATTATAACTTTGTTTTTAGCTCTCATTAGAGAATAGATATCCATCTCCACCCCATACTCATTCAGGGGATAGCAGTGTTTGTAGTCTTTATTTCCTGTGCGGTACATGTTGTTTATATACAGTAACTTGTGACTCATCAAACGACACGTGTGAGACCATAACTGTTTTTAACAAATAACCTGGGAATTTTCAGGAAGTCCGAGCAAGAATTAAATTTGGTTTTAGTTTTGTATACTCAAATGCTAATAAATGTTTTACTTTTTTTTAGCACTTAAAAGCATAGCAAAGTTTTAAATTGTTCATTACAGGTTGTTTTGTGTTATTTTTTCCCACAAAACCAGCAGAGGGGACCCCCATATTGTGCACGCTATTGACTATAGTTACGATGGAACTGGAGGGGAGTTCCTTTGGAAAGAAACTCGAGTTATTTTGCCGTGGGGAACTTGAGAACAAAAGAAACATTACAAACAAAAAGCAGCCCATTCCATCCCTTTTGTTCATCTGGTTTGTATGACCTTATTTATATAAAATGTCATTCAGCAGTATCCTAATGGGATCCCTGGGTGTCAGTTCCAATGGAACGGCTGATGAGTGTGGTCAGAACATATGTGATGTTGTGTAAAGGAGTGCCTTGGGGTTCTCCTTTGATTTCTTTGACCCGAAATTTAATTAGGAGGAAAAATATTAGAATTAATTGCAAAGGTGCCACAGGCACAGAAAATATTAATACCATCTGTGTTTAGAGCAGTAGGGTATTTTAACTTTCATTTAACAGTATTGGGAAAATACAACTGTGAGTTACAAAGAGTAATAAATACACTCAGAATGTACGTATAAGTACATTAAATAGTAATTTACTTTTAAAAATTTGTAAACATATCGTGTTTTTTGCCATATCTTTATAAAGTGGTATCATTTCTTCCCATTTTAAACTCTCATACATTTTGGATATCACAAGAGCATATTGAGTAAGTTGTTGATAACATTAGAGAATGACACACAGACCTCGCATCCATCAAATGAATGTGTCTTGCAAGATTATTTTCTCAAGCCTGCTTGTCTGGTGCCTTAACGTGCTACCAAACACACACTTTTCATAGCCCCTCCACAAAGCTGTGGACCAGCACCTGAATCAACACATATAAGGACAAATGGCAAAAAAGTTTTTTTTTTTTTTTTAAATGTGCTCGGAAATCAACAGCCTGCTGCAGGCTGCCACTTCGGTTTTAGCTTGAACTTATGTCTGTGCCTAAATGCCACTTGGTCCTCTTTAGTTAAGTCAACCATGTAAAATATGGAAAGAAACGTTATGTACGGTATAAACGTTTTTAACGTTATACCACTTTGCCTGACCTCATGCTTCAAGACAAAGTAGTATTGTATATATGTTGAAGTAGTTCAGGTGATTAGCTGCATCAGCATGCGTTGTCTGCAAAGGAAAAAGTAAAAGGTTTATTCCATGCTGAAAAGAGATGAGAGAAAACACAATGTTTCAGCTGTGAAGCACTTCCTGAGTGGCCTTTCCGCCCCTCCTGCCTCCTCCCCTCTCCCAGCTTTTGTTCTTCTGTGCTATTTAATCTTTGCTGTCTTTCTCACACCTGAAGAAGGCTTCACAGCCGAAACGTGTTTGCTCTCTTCTCTTTTCAGCATGGAACAAACCTACAGTATTACTTGTTCCTTTGTATATACTGTACTGTATATTGCTTAATTGGTTTCAAATCACTAATTCACAGCCTTTTGTCTTGGATTATTTCTTGTGCAAAAACTTTGCAGTCACTATAATCATTATAAGACTTAATGTCACTTTGTCCTTTACACAGTGATTCACATTATATTGGATTTAGAGCCATGTTTTCTTATGTATTTGAGAACAACGTTTTACATTACCATAGCAAAGTTTGCTTGTATAGGATATTGTATCCAAATATATTTAGGACACCTGAGAGTGCACTCATGGAACATTTAACTCTTACTAAATCATTGGTATTTTTTCCAGTTTAACTATTGTTATTGATGTCTTAGTGGATTGTTACTGTATCATTACTACACAAAACCACAATTCTTGGAGCTTAATTTACTGTAACCGTATCCCAGATTTGATCTTTTTCTTCTATAACAGAAATGGTTCATTACGATTCTTACTGTACACAATGTGTTCAAGTAGTAGATTGTCATTGGTATTACAATGCTTCTTACTTTAAAGTTATATCTCATAATGTTCCATTTTGTACACATCATTGACTGACAGCTTTAAAAATGCACAAAAAAAGACAAAACAACAGACGTATCCTTAGAATTCCAAAATGTTTTTTAAATTTATTTTTTCCCATAAAAATATAGGGGTATTGGGACAGCTTTGCATGCTGTCCAAACACTTGACAGTCTATCAATGCCTCTGCTGAAGCAGCAATTAATTGCAAATAAGCATGTTTAGTAATTATGCAAACATTCTTTGTATCTACAGACCAACTATTTTAGGACAGCGGACATGTAAAATGATTTCAGAGCTGCAGGGCAGAAATCAATCACATACCTGCTCCTGCAGAGCAGCCTGTTGCATTTTTTTCTATTTCACATTTGTTTTAGTCTGTATTATTATCTCGTGCTTTGGAATGCAGAGTCATTTACTACTGCATACTAATGTATTCTGGGACTCGATTCTCTGATATGCAAGTTTGGCTGTTCTCATCTGATCAGTGGATACTGCAAAGCTGTCAAACATGATGAGACTGCACTCCTTCCAGACAATTTGTAGCTTTCGCCTTCAACAAAATTGCAAATGTAAAGCATTCAATCATGTGTAGGAATGGCAAACACCCTTTTTGAGAAAGAAAGCATTTTGGCTATATAACTTTAAGGGAAATCTATCTGTAGGATAAGATATTGACTTTTGCCCCATGGTTTATTAAAAACAAATACAGAATTTAAGCTTTATACAAAAAAAAGATATTTGCATTTTGAATAGAAAATTTTAAATTATTACAAAGTTTAACACAAAATGTCCATTCCAATGCTTCTCCAAAGTGGTCAGCAATTTTGATTGGAATTTAAAACAGCTATTCACATTCACAGTTTCTTATTTAAAAAAGTATCTTTCTTGTGCACCGCCCCACTTAGAATAGTGTGCAAATGCTCACTAGATGTGTATCCAGTTAAAAAAAAAGACTGATCATTTAACTTGTGAATGTAAGGTGGGGAGAAGTGACATTTTAAAAGTACTGTTTACCTAATGGTGAAATGTGACAAAAAACAAAACAAAAAGGCTTTTATATTTATAACCAGACAGCATCATAAAATGATATTTTTTCCCCTTTGATTTTTGCCTGACAACAGAACTGCAACAGTTAATGCCAAACCAACTTTCATCTCATTAACATTTTCTGCTTTTATGCAAGTTTACATTAAAATGTCTCCGCAACGGGGACATAAGGTCTGTGTAATTAAAAGATACCATGTTACAGTGCAGCTATTCCACAGCACTCTGTTACAGACTTGCTTACTTAGCAGTGAAAAATGGATCTGACCTGAAAGACCTAGCTGCCACCACTTCCTAAACACAGCTGCAGATATAAGCTCTGTTTCTTCCTTCCTTTTGTGCTTTGCCTTTGTTCACACACACATGAGCAAAACCTAAAGCTCTTGGAAAGGTGAATATAGACAAGAGTAAACGTATTAAGGCTAAAGCAGAGTAAAAGTAGAATAAAAAAGGTAACTGCCAACCCTGGATTATTTCTTACACTGTTTTCCTACAGGCACTACACTGAAATTACAGTTTATATTTAGTGACTTCACTAGAAGCCTTTGAGGTCTAGTCAAACTGCTACAGGCAAAGTGCAGCAATATATATTTGATACATTTAGGGTGACACCTTTTGCAGCCATTGTGGTGAGCACAAACCGCCATATTGAAACTTCCATAAGTTAACGGATTGGTTTAAGATGACTTTGACAGTTTGTAAATTCCTCACACAGTCTGACTGAGAGCTGCGGAGCTTCTCCATTCAAAATAAAGCTGTTGATGATTTAGTTTTTATTTTTTTGTATTAATCCAAAAAACGATATATATACAGTATGTGTGTGTATTTCAAAAAGAAGACAAACAGATATTTTAGTTCTTAGGAAAAAGGCATTAGGAGTACTTTCAGTAAAGCATAGAAGGCATGGTGATACCCAGAGCTGAACACTCTGGCAGCAAGATTAAATTTGACCCTCTGCTGTATTTTTCTGTGGGTAACTTTCTCCAGAAATGGAGCGACCATCTTAAATGAGACTAAATTAATCTGACTTCAGATAGAAACTCCATAAGCCTAAAGGTTCATGTCACTGCAATGCCTGTTCCAGTGATTTCAAATCTGCTTGCTCTTCGTTAAGTTCTTTTTCCAACATACTGTAAATTAGCAACATACCTGTACTGTCATTGCAAACAAGAATTGAAGCTAGCAACAAATAAGCAACAGAAGAACAAAATTCTAAGAAATCTCTAATATTGTTATTTTCACAAAACTCTCTCTGCATAGTGTCAGAATATAATTTGACTTGCCGCACTAGTATTTAAAAAATGTCTGACACAAAAAGTGTGCATAATTATACAAACTGTACAACACTGGAGCCTCAATATTGCCAATCAGGATCATTTAGATATGTTGCATATTTCCATTTTTTTTTGTTTATGATTATGATTATGAGGATTTGTGATTGCACTGGTAAGTTTTAAGTAGTTACTCATTTTCAAATTTTTTCTTCCAAATGCATGTTTTTTTATTAGGCTGTATTATTACATACTTAACACTTTAATGTTTACTAATAGTGTAGTAAACCTAATATCATGGTGCAAATAATGTAAATACATGCTGATGAACATTAGATTAAAATAATTATCGCTTGTTGAGCAGAACTTTCTGATTTTTATGGAAAGTGACAAAGGCCCTAATGCTCAGGTCATATTCATAGCTGAGACCACACAAATTCCAAGATGAATCTTGTAGTTTTAGAGGATTTGTTATTTAAGACATAAGAGTGTGATTGCTTTGATATGCAATGCATACCTACCTGACCTACTGTAGTACTTACAGAGTACCTACTAGATCAACTAGCAATAAATAACGTTGATGCAAAAAACCAAAACATCAGAAAATAGTACATAAATACAGCCTTTAAGGCCCTCTGCCAAAAAAAATTAAATTGTGAAAAAAATTTATAAAACAGCTCAGGTAACATGTTTTCTAACAACCTAGAGTGCATTCAATTCAGATTCAAGCAATGTGTCTAAGTGGAAATACCAAATACCTGCTTTTGATGTTCTTTACATATCTTCCTATTGTGTTGTGTAGCACATACAGTATGTGATCACAGTAGCCCAGACTATAAAGTTATCCGAGCCAAATAACCTCTAGAATTAAAAAATGTTCTTTAATACCAAATGTGATTTGCTCGAAAGTGCCTGAAGCATTTCAGATATATCTGACATGTACGTGTATTCACAGATGCACGCTTAAATATTTAAGAGCATGGAGAGAAAAACTGATGTTGTTCAAGACAAGATTAATTTCTCCCCTTAAAATCCCCCTGGGCTATTAATTTAAAAGTAGTTTCAAAGCAAGGATCCAATCACATTTTATCAGCATACACACAGGCTCAGAAAAAGCTGAAAAAGCTGTACAAACTGAAATTTTAAATACAGAAGAATGAGAGAGTAAATTCATCTAAACTTCAAGTAGTAAGGTATGGAATAATTGAACAGCAGGAAGTCCATTTTGTATAAGTTGTAGAGTTTCTTCTGGTAGAAGGGACTGATTTTCCGGAAGAACTGGGCAGTCATGTCGTCTGTAGTCCTGGTGCTCTTGGAAGAGGCTGGGAACTGGACTGCTCCCTCAGCTCCTGCCAGCTCCAGGATATAGCGGGCATCCTGGTCCAGGGTCTCGTACTTCCCCACCACATCGTAGTGGACGATGCAGGGGTGGCAGAGGGAGTGCACGCGTTCCCAGTGCTCGTTGAAGGGCTCCTCGCGTTGGGTGTGGGGATCCACCAGGTAGTACACAAACTCCTCGAAGGAGACATCATCACCCTTCTCTAGGGCCTCCTCACTGGGGTCAGCCCTGTGCCTCTTGATGATCTTGGTGCCGTAGCGTTTGTGGAAGGCTGTGTTGTACTTGCGCGTAAACTTGTTGCGGTACGCCGAAACGAGGCGCTCGAAGGGCTCCCGGACGAAGACGAACTTCAGGTAGTTCCGCAGGCGGTGGTTGATCTCGGAAGTGCTGTACTCGGAGAGGGTGCGCAGGTTACCTGGAATGTGGGCCTCGTTAGCCGGGATCTTCAGTGGGTCTTGGTATTTGCCATCCCCTGTCAGCACCATCAGGACCCGCTTCCAGTTGGTGCAGGCCACCTTAGGTACATAGCAGTACAGCAGCCCGTGGCGGTCATCCACAATGAGGTGCTTGAGGTCATCGGGGATCAGGACCCGCCTCTTCTTGGTGTACGCCTGGCAAGCCCTGCCCAGCAGCTCTCTCCGGCCCTGGTGTATCGCCTGGACAGCCGACAACTCAAACTAGGAAAGAAAGACACAAGCCAACACATTAACAATAAAAATCTAAATGGTTCTCTTCGGCAGGCTTAGTCCAATTATAAGGCGAGGAAAGCACTTCAGAGAGGCTTTTTCCATCCGGCAGCAGACGACTTGGGCCAAACAACACTCCATAAAAAGAGAGCAAAAAGTTTTTAATGAGTTCTTTACAGGAGTCGAAGGAAATAGGATCTGAACTCCTAAAATAAGGGTAAGGGTCCTGGTCAGATCTGATAAATTGACATTTTTTTGTTGTTGATGACCAATGTGGACATGGCACAAATTCCAATAATGTGTTTTGAAAGTGTTTTACAAGACAATTATCTTGTTGCTCATTTTCTGTCTTCATAGGTCTATACAAACCTGCCTAAAATGGAAATAGAAGAAAACCAAACGCACAGAGGAACTGTGTTCCCCATCTGTAGAATACATTACTAACTTCCATGTGCACATTTTTTTCCATAGGTAGAATAACCTAAACATTTATTTCAGAAACCATTTCAAGGTTCAACATACTGTATGAAAGAATGGCTAATTTGCAGGGTATATTTTAACATTCTGAAATCTAAGCCTCCCACCAACGTATCTCACGCTGCTCCATCACACCATAGAGCGTCTTAGTCTGAAACTTGATAACATCTTCTCCAAAACATGTGGCAGTTTCTGCTAGGGCAGCACAAATGTCTTCCTTGTTCTGCATGAAAATAAAATTTTCAAGACTAGTGATAAGAAAAAAAAAAACATTATTGCCCAATGCCAATATAAAACATAAGGAAAATATTAAACGAGAGGAAAAACAGCCAGCTGGCCACAGTCCCAGAAGAAAGGAGGGTAAGTAGATATTGCCTGCTATATCAGATGCAGCAAAATGTGTTCCCAGTTTTAATGAAAAGCATGACTCTGCAAAGTGCTCTTTGCTTTCAGTGCATGGAGTCTTCCCTATCCAGATTCTGGACTCTTCCTGCCACCTAGGAGAATCTGCTACTTATTTGGATTTTTTGACTACCCTGGCGTAGGGTTAGGATAATCTAGGAATTTCAACTGCTGCACATGAGACATGCTTGCAGCAGAATTGAACTGAAAACTCTGCTGATCTATTTCTTATATACTAGTAAACACAAAAGAGTCAAGGACTTTGAAACAAAGAGGTCCAGTATACCCTTCATACCTTTCCAGCACTTGTCAATGAGTTACAGAGTGACATTACATTTCCTAGGTGAATGAAAACATGAGGCAGCATAACTGAAAAACAATTTATTTTTAACAAGTAAATTACCCACTATTCAGAAAGTAATCTTCTGGAACAAGCCTGTTGAAGTGACTTGTCTTTTGAAAATTGCACTGATATCTCCTCTCATATCAGACAGTAATGTGTGCTTCCTCTAATTTGATAATTAAACATGTATTTAATGTTTACACATTTTAAAAGCCCCACACAAGGGTCAAAGCAATAGTGTAAATCTATAACATCATTATCTGATCTTTTCACTAATGATCAACATTCTACAAGAGAAGGTTCCAAGTTCATACCCTGATCCATTGCATATATAATATGCCTTGTATATAATCTCCAACACCATAGGTAAAATATAGTAAGTTAAATAGCAGTACAGTCCTAGTGAAGATAGTGGTGGATGTCACACATATCTCTAAACAAACAGGTCTATACAGAGCAAAAGAAGATGTATTAGCCTAACCATGGAAACAGCACAAAACACTAAGATCGACTTCTATTTTTTCAAACAGAACTAACACACCAGTGTTTCATGTAAATAACCATGCCATAAACTCCATTCAAATATATGGATGTGTAAATAAGGCTGCCAAACAAAACATACTGGGGAATTCTTTGAGAGACCTTTAAAAGGGTTGAAACATTGCTAACACCGTGATCTGTTACTGTTGTTGCTAAGGACTTAAAAAGTTGCAAGAAGACCTTTGAAAAACAAAAATCATAGTAATCCACAAAAAGATAATTACACGTAAATGGAATAATGTAATAAAATAACAATGCTACAGTATATCAATATCCTACTTGTGGTCCCTTTAAGACACCCATGCCTGAGCAGATTGCAGTCGTCTAAAGTCATTATGGACAAGGTCATCTGTATGTTACATTCTTAAGGTATATTTTTCCAGAAGGCAGCTGGCGTGTCTGTCTGAATGTTACTCCATAGACTTCCTCCTGTTATTTTAAAACCCTTGGAGGCAGAGTCTGAGCACCTTAAATAACACATCCTGACAGATAGCCAGTGTCTGACACTGACTGACAGAGTCGTGCTTTGTGAGTGGATGGTGAGTACATGTGGTGAGAAAATTAGAGCCTGAATTCAAGCAGAACACGCTCTCAGTTTATGCAATTGTTCTTACTTAGCATGAAGGATGTGAGCACAAAAGAGGTACAGTATATGTATTTATAAAGTGAGAGTGTCTGTTTCCAGATTTGGAGGGGCCATTTAAAAAGCAAAGTATTGTGGAACTTTTATCTACTGTACAAATACAAGAACTGAAAATGCATTTGAAAATATGTTTGTTTCTTTGTTCAAGTAAGTTATGTATTTTTTGCCTTTCTCAGAAGTGTAATACTAAGTTTTGTAAGATCACTTTTCAGTCTGATTTACCTTCAGTAGCAGATATATGTTAAATACAAGTTCGCTTGTATTAACAAAACGCTTCTTGCATTTTTGTCCAGCTCCAATGCAGTTAATGAACCAAAATCAGCTCACAAGTGGACTAATTTATACCAGCTTCTCTAAGGACTTCAGGTGCTGCCTCGTAAAAGGCCCTTAGAGGTTGGACTACCTGGGCTTGATATATCAAAATTGAGATCCCGGTTAAGTTACCAGACAAGCAAGATGTACTGAATGACTTCCTCTCATTTGCAAACTTTGGTCACATGTCCAATAAGGATTATTCTGTACATCTACATTTTTAACCACGTACTCTCAAAAACTGGTAAACACTGCCACCACACTTGTGTTTGTGGTTGTTCTCTCTTGTCATCCATAATGTTCTTTGGGTTTGGAGAAGAAACAGGAAATGGCTAACACTTGTTTTAAGATGCGTGGGGTTATGCCAGTAATTTGTCTGTACAGTACTTCCCCTTTTCACCGACTTCTGGGTTTGAGAAGCAAATTCCAATCACCATTCCAATCACCAGTTCCATTGAGGAAAAAGTTATATAAAATTCACGTACCGCAGAGCATAGCTGGAATGTACACAAGAAATACAGCCCTCGGTTTTACAGCCTGGCTTGTATGAGGATCTCCTTGAACCACACTTATTTTATCCTCAGACATTTTATGCCTTGTACCTAGTCTTGGCCCCTGACACAGCACTAAGAGGGCAATGGGGTCCTTTTTTTCTGAAACTGGCACGCATTAAAATAATCCTTAAAACTATGTTGCAATGTTATACGGCCTGTACTGTATAGTGACATCACAGAAAGCCCAAAGAAGTGCATTCAAAGCATTTACCATATGTAAAAATCCTGTAAAACAGGTGCATGGATTCCAGCTGTAACTAAAACAAGCTCTTAAGGGTAATTTGTTCAAATTCAATGATGCTGCACGCTTGATGTTATAGATGACTCTGCATGATAAATGTATCCCGATTCCATAACGCTCACTTTTACACATGGTTGCAATTCTTGCTTATACTGTGTATTCCCGTCACTGAAATCATAGGTTTAACCAAATCTATAAAACTTTAGAAGACAAGGCCCAGACATTACCACTTCAAATCTGGATCATGTCACCCGTCTGCTATGCCTGGGATTTCTTAAGTAGTGTCACTCGGTTGGCAGAGTGCTGCCAGGGTAAGGCAGGTGTCAGTTAGCTTTCTGCAACTTGCCAGGAGCCTGTGGATTTGCAGTAACATCAATGAGGCACATGTTGCTCCTCCAGTTGACACACACTCTTGTCAGGGCCCTGTGAAGCCTCCAGTAATTGAAAAGATTAATTGTTCTAACTGGCAGTTATATACTGTAAAAGGAGGATAACTATAGGTCTTCGATGTCCCCCTAGCTGGACAGCCACATCTCAAAATAATTGAGGATTTTTAATTTGGGTTTATTTTTGAAGATAAACAAATGCAGACGCCATAACCAAAAGAAATGAAGCACAATAGCTTCCAATGTGCAAATTGGATGGATTTCTAGAGTGGTGGGTGTATGGAATTCTGTCCAACTGTATTTTAGATACTGGTTCTCTGTTTTCCAGGAAACAGATTTACAGGTTTCTAGAATGGATAAGCTATAAACCATACAAAAGCAGTCAAAATGCTTCCTCTCATTATGTTTTTTTTATTCTCGTATTTTCATAAAGCTCTAATACATGAGCCCATTGAAATCACAACAGTCAATTCGCTACACTTTCTTGTGCCAATACAAATGATTTAATAAATCAGCGCTATTCTGCTGTTATTTGATAAGACTCGTTATTGCAACCATCTCATGCTGTACTCAAGAATTGTATTTTTAATTCCTGGAGGACCTAGTGTTTTGTGGCTTTTGTTTTAACCTGGAATTTTGACACTCCTAAAGTAAAAAAAAAACATGTTACAGTAAATACAGTATAAGAGTTTTGTTTGAATGAATTTTAGTGCTGTATTTATGAATTTAAATTTCTCAAGTGACTAATGACTATGATTCCTAAATATCTGCAGTGTTTTTAATCAAACAGAACAGCATTTTGCTGAAAAATAAAACTGCTCAAGAAACATGCACCATAAAGCTGTCAGAAAAAGGCTTTTGCAAAGCAACACACCTTCCCAGAATTTAAGAATTAGCTCTCAATGTAAACCATGTGTTTCTTGCATATTGTACATGCCCTACTAGGATAGCTTTGAAACAGTTCTGAAGGAGTGCTGTAGCTTGTTTTGAGGTAGTTTTCATCAGTGTGATCAAACCAAATAAAACATGAAAAATGAAAAAGTGTGAAGAGACCCAGGGAACACTGCCTGTCTATGTGTTACACTGGCTACTGAGCTGGTGTCAAAAGATGCAAAAAAGTAACTGAAAATTGAATGCACAGAAAATGTTAAACCTATACCAGACTTCTTCTGAGTTCCTTTAACTCTGACTGTCCAATATACTGTACAGGGGCAGGATTATTTTTTGCAGAGTATTTAAATCACATTGGGACATTGATTGTGTGGGAATTTCATCTTCATCAACCATTGAACTGCAGCACCTGCAGTCTCCATACTGGGGTAATGGTTTGGAAATTTTGTGTCCTGATGAGTGTCATCTACTTTTCCACCGACATTATATCCAGCGGAATTTTTTTTTTTGTTAGAAGCCTTGCTTAGCTTCAGAGATCTAATAGGATCACCTGCAAGGTGGTAATGTTGCTGTCCTATCACTTGCCTATTGTATGTTGCAAAATGTTGTGCTCTGTGTCACAGTTTTGCATAGCTCAGTGAAATCATTGTGCACTGGCAGCCCCTCACTGTCAGAACAGAAGACATTTCACTAACAAGTCTGAGCAGCAACAAGCTTCTCTGTAAATCCCGATTTGCATACCAAATGCATTTGACTATAGGCCTTTTAAATGTGTACCCTAGAACACAAAATTAAAAAGATGGACTATAAAAGCACATTAAAACTGAAAGTTAAAGTACTATATTAATATTTAAGCCTTTTTTTGCTGGGTAATCATTTTACCTTTAAACATGGAAATAATTCAAGTTATCCTATTATTTTTATTGGTCTGTTCCAGATGAATACGTTTTGCTGAAATTACTTAAGTACTGTGTTTTTGTTTGAATTCAATAAACCGCTGACTGAACTTCGGAGGAATTTTTCAGCCATCTCGTAGCACAACTGGCATTCATCATTAAAAGCAAGATAATACTCCCTCTCACTGAAAAAAATCTAAATACTTGGGTGTATAAAGATAGCATTATCTTTGTTGACTTTAGTAAATCCTTTAGGAGTCCCAAAATGGACAACAGATTAGCAAAACAAAATTTTCACATTTGGTCATCCCAATAATCCATTTAAATTCTCTGACAAATCAATATGATGTTTTTTTTTTACTTTGACTTGACTGTACGCAGAATTGCAAAATTGATTGAAAGTTTAAGCTTTAAGGTACTTAAAGTAGAGTTTTGCTGTCTTCTTGTTACCATAATCAAACCCTCATTTTAGCTTCAGAATTTGTTGCCCACTTAACAAGGAGGAAAAAAAAATCCGGCAGAGATTTGGAAGCAAAATGTATCCAAGGCTAAAACATTTGAGAGGAGTTAGTTAAAAAAAATATATGTTCCCTTTTTTCCCTGTCTTATGTGTGTCGATACCTGCTCCAATAGTAGTGGATTTCCAAAAGAGCACCAATATGTAATGCATACTGTATATACAGTACCAACAACTTAAAATTATTAATCATACTGTACTGTACATCCAAGGAAATACAAACTTTGTCTCCATCATATGAACCAAAAGGGGGATATTTGAGACCACAATAGTATTCATAACCAGATTTAACCTTGCCTCAGTTTTCCCCCGGGGAATTTGTTTGAAGCACTTCATGAAGAAGGGGTATTTTAAAAATGACAAATTTCAATTTACAATATCTCTTACGAAGTCTGGTTTAGGATACTTAAAAAGTATGATGTAAACAAGTGATGAATGAGGGCACATATTTCACCACTCTGCAGTTTAAAGAACCAATCCCGATGATACAAACGTAAACTGTTTCAGCATGTACTTTATAACAAATTAATTTGTTTAGATTTTGTCTGCCCACCTGGTCACTATCGTACAGGGTCTGCAGTGGACTTCTTCCAGATTTCCCTGGCCAGCTGTTCCCCAAAATAGTCTGTTCAGCAGCTGAAAGAACAAAATCATGGTTTGTTAGTGGGAGCACTCCATTTTCTTACTAAAACAGTAGCTTGCTGCTCACAATTATCTTTTTGCATAGTTTTAAATGTTTACACCATCTTTTTTAATAAGCTAACATTTTATATTATTATGATTACAGTTGTTTTTTGGGGATTGTTACTTATTTGGTTAAAAGATATCCACATATAGATTTAGCATTTATAAAAAGCTTTACCATGACAAAATGGTACGAGAAAACCAAAGGCATGTTTGCAAAAAAGTATTTAAAAAAAAAGCAGTTTAATACAATTACAAAAGAGGCCCAGACACGCTGCTAGTGTAAGTGCCTCCAAAACACAAAATAAAAATTGAAGTCATGAAAAAAATTATTATTATTTATTACCACCTGATTATGTTATGTGTGTCAAAACCACAGCAAACACATATACTGTAGATAGAGTTGATACAGAGCAGTAATATAAAAAACATAATAAAGCTTATGAATGAGAAGAATAGGCCACCGGCCCTATGCTGGAGCTTGTTTGGTTGACAGTAATTGATCTCATTCAGATGGTTTCCCGAATTAAACCAAAGCATCGGTTTTCACAACATGGCTTGATAGTTTCCTCCAGACTTTAATAACCTTTAGTTAAAGAACTGTCTCCTTTGGAGCAAGGTAGAGTGTGAGCTGCAGAAGGATTGGTTGAGAGCCTGAAAAGTGGTCATTTGGTCAGCTGAATGAACTTCTGTAGGTAGCTCATTCCACCACTGAGGATCAAGGATTAAAAATGAACTGGCCCTGGAAATAGGAGAAAAGAGACAGCACAGAGAGAAAATCTGGCAAAAGAGGAGAGGAAATAGGGCGTTTCAGGTGAGCTAAGAGACTGATTGGTTGAAACAGCAGTAAGGGTGAGCAAGTGACTTGCCATACAAATACAATTCAACAGGGAGATAATAGAGGGACTGGAGCACTACACTAGCATGAGAAAAAACAAGGTGAGCCACAGAGTTCTGGAAGGGTTGGAGTAGGTGGATTGTATTTCAAAGGAAGAAAGTCAAGAAAGCTGCATTAGTCTAGGTGGGTCTAGAGCCTTAATTATAAACTGTATAGAACTGCCGGTAACAAAAGGGTGTATTCTAGAAAAGTTGCTTCAGACAAATAGGAGCCAGAGAAGAAATGTTTTGGGAATAAAAAAGGAAAAAGGAGGGAGACAGGGTGGTGGAGTCCAAGAGGAATAGAGATAGGGAGTTCCATGCCTGGGGAAGAAGAGGAAGGGAGGAGGAGAAAGGCAGACATAAAAAGACTGAGTTTACGTTGATAGACGTGCGTCCAGAAATGCAGAAATAAGAGAGGAGACATTGAGCATCACAGGGAGGAAAAAAAGTTCAAGTGTTCTGCATTGTCAGCAATGAGAGAAGAGAGAAACCAGGCAGCAGGTATAGAAAGAATAACAAACATACAGTATTTTACCTGCTCTCCTAAACCCAGACAATTCAAAGCTGACTCAATCTTATTTTAGCAATCGTATAAGCATACCTGTAAGAGAGTTAGTATATATTGCAAATGCTAGATGGCTTTCTAAAGTCCACATGATTGCAAAGATACATTTCCCCTTAATCGAAAACATAGCCCTGTTCTTGAGCATTAAATTTGAAGGGCCTGATTGTAGAATTACAAGTCATAATGTGCTTCTACATAATTCACAGTCAGAAAAAGAACACAACAGATCTGATCTGGCACATGAAGAAGAGGTATGCTAGTCAGATCTCCGTACTGGTCTGAAACGGTGGTAGAGGCAGTGATAAACCTATGGTCAACAGTAAAAAATACACAAAGAAGTCTGGAAGCATCTAAGCACATCCTAAAATTCTTGACATACAGTAAATTAAGGTCATGCGAAGAATCTCTTCGTCTGGACTCTCCCTTATTCCTCCTTTTGCTTTCTCCCTGTGAGACCACCTCACCTAACCTGGGGCCCATTCTGCAAGAATGCAATAATTGGTTTTGCAAATGTGCCAACATTTGCCAACAGTGAAAAAAGAGATCACTTTACTGAAAAGAAAGGGGGCAATCAAACCACATGCCCCAGCCAGACGGTCTTAATGAATCTGTGCTACAGGTTCCTGCCTTGCCCGAGCCTTCAGTGTTGAATGCATTGCAAAACAGCGCACAACAGTATATCACTGCAAATACCTGATCATGGTAGCACTACCTTTAGTCTGCTGTATATTAGTACTGCGGCCTAATAAATAGACAATAATAATGCACTTTATTACCACCTGATTATGTTATGTGCTTACAAATCTCCTAAGGGGGAAAAAGTATGAGCCTAGTACATAAAAAAGGAATGTGTTGGCCTATTATAAAAGAAATATCCCTCATACAATAAGATAAAAAAGGCAGACGCTCTCCTGAGAATGTCAAATAAAATATGAAGGGTGTGGTCCGTGCTGTTAGGAAAAGCAAGTTATTTCACAGATGAACCCTTTAATTAGAAAGTGAACATCTTTCTGTAACTTACTATTGAAGGATTTTGAATATATATAGTTTATATATGCAGTTTCTAATAAAATGCCTGTAAAGGCCAGCATGTAATTTTCTCAGGACGTTGGTGTTTTATAGCCATATGCCTAATCTGGCTTGTTGTGTAGGCGGTAGACCTACAGAGTACAGTGTAGATTTAGCATTTGTGAAAAATACAAAAAGTGGCTGGATCCATATCTTTAGGGAGAAACTACTGAAGGGTTATATGCATATCTTGTATGTAACATTGGGTGTCCAGCATTTCTGCATTTTTCTAATTCTTTAAAGACAGCTTGAAGGAAACACATTGAAGCTTGTGACTAAGCTGAGGTAAAAAAAAAAATAGAACACTTAATATCCTATTAAACTTTCATTCAAAAGTGCATAGCCTAAAACTGAACTCAATAGGTAATGTTTTGATAACTGAAGTCACATTTTTTAAAATTAGTTATCATTCCATAGACTACTCCTACAAGTAAGACACAGGAAATGATTTCATCACATTTAATAATGATCTGAAACGTTTGAGGGGGAGAACAGACTACTGAAAATTACACAATAATACTGAATTTACTTCTTACCCTTCAAAATGTTTGTGAAAACAACTTTAAGAAAATTTTACATTCTGCATATGCAAATCGGCGTGAAGTCAATAACATACAGGCTACAACACTACTATTAAGGTTTTGTTGGAAGATAATTCAATTTGAAACTCTTTTTACCTTTATTCTGAATGGAGATAAGCAACAGTATAATACTTTCTTCACAAACATTTTGCCAAAGGTAGGACCTTTTATTCTTATGTAAGTTACATACAGAAGTCTTACATGGCAGGTTTATATAACTCAGAATGACCAGACATTACTAAGTTTTAGTGATTCACAACAACTTTTACTTTTGCAAATGTAAAGGTCAATTACACTCTGAAATGTTAAAAGAAAGAACACAATGTTTTGGCAGTGAATACTTCTTCAGGTGACACCCAGAAGAAGGCTTGACAATCTTTTGTGTTTCTTTTTTTCTACTTTTCAGGTTTTACTGAACCTTTACTTGTACCTCTGCAGCCAACACACACTGATGCTACTCTCCACTTAACCATTTACTTTTTCCCATAGTCTCCACAGACAGACATTGAAACTGAAATCCTACACTGAAATTGTATAATTTGGCGGGTCTGTAGGTTTTATGGGTAGCTCAGTACTGTAATAATGAAATTAAATTCACAAGTTATTCTTTGTTTCCCACATTATTATCAGATACGCTGCAATTCTGCAATTTCCCTCACAGGATCAATGAAGTATCTATCTATTCTAACATTAATGACCATTTGAATTTACAGTAGGTCTGTACCTTTTTTATTTTGAAACGGGAACATTGACCAGTGTAAAATAAAATATTCCTGTTGCAGTTCTATTACTATTCCCCCAGACTAAGCACAGAAATTCCCACACGCACACAATCCACAGATGCACATAAAAATGTTGCTCCAGCCCTGTTAAAATATTTATACAGGAAGTTCTTGCTGGGATTAAAGACCATCTCATTACAGATGCTTTCACAAATTGCAAGACACTGCACACACAAACCAACATGAGAAGAATTTATTAAAGGCTACTGGTGACATTATTTCAAAGACTTGCCTGAGCTCGCAGCAAAGGCTCAAGCTGTTCTGCACCTAAGTTGGCACACATTTCACTTTAATCGCTTAAAGCTTATGCTAAATGTCACTATAAGGCACACTACTAAGTTGAGAAAATAAATATCCATATTAAAGATTTTAAAGAATTCACATTATAAAGTTCAGTAGAAATTTGGCACAGTAAAATCCATATAAAAGAAAAGAAAAACTGCAGTAAGCAAGCGGTTTTTCCATGTAGATTTACCATGGTGGACATTCCAAAGCGGAAATCTATAAACTTTTATTGATGTTCATTTTATTACTGACTTTTTCTGTGAAAATCAAAAGACAGCTAAACGAGCATACAAACACCTGCAGGTTGTCACCACCCAAGGCACGGTCAACCTATCCACAGCAACATTAAAAACTATTCTAGAAATAGGCAATAGGGTACAAATCCGTTTATAAATCAAGATATGCTAAATATTTAGTACTCTATTCATTCATCAACTGTAGGGAAGAAACAGTGAGAAACAGTTTATTTTATTTATTTAGCACTAATAATTAGCACGTTAATAACATGTTCATTACTATGATACTGTATCTGACAAAGAAACTGAGGGGCCTAGGGGTGTTTAGAATATAAAGGTATTTTAGGCTTCTGTTAAAAATGTCTTCGTTAAGTGTTTTTACCCAGATAGTATAGTTGTATTTTGATGTGATTTCCTCTTTTTTAACAATAGGAGAATTAGGTTTTAAAAAAAAGAGAATTAGGTTTTTCTTATCTTCTGCAATCGTAGATAAAGCTTCCTTTTTTGCAATTATGTCAACAGTTTAAACATGCACATGACTGAGGTCTGGTGCATG